CATTATTGCATCATGCAGTGTGTAGGGGTAGCCCGGATTATTGCAAAATAACTTGCAGACACGAAACTAGAAAGAGTTTATATCTAGTTATCGCCTAAAATGTTTCCAAGGAAGAAGGACAAGAGGACAAGTGGGCATGGTAACATTGGGAGGTGTCAAACACAGGATCACAACAGTCATTACTCTCTTCATATGTATGTTATTTATCAGGGTTTGAAGTACAATTCAGATGCACCCCCAAATTTAACAACCACAGATCCTAATGCTGACACTTACTGGATGAACTGCAGGCCTTTCTGAATCTCCTGCCAGCGAGTCCTTCTGTCCTGACACGCTCCGGACATGTTTGACTTAATATCCACTCCTCTATCGGCACCTGAAATGACAACACATATGGTTCATAACGTAGTATATTAACTGGTAAAAGACATGGGCATAGACCAGCTTTAATGACAACTAAAACAAAAACACTCCCTACTTTCATAAATCACAAACAGCAGGCTGTCAGACCAGTTTAATGACAGTTCATAAGCTCAGGGTTCTCAGGAACTATATTAAAGTAATTATTCTCGCTTTCAATGTTTATAGCTTCCGCATTTAGTAATGACGACACATGTCGTTCCGGAAACTGAGGAGAGACATATCTTTTAGCTTTTGTAAGCGGATACCGTCAACACTTTATATCTGAAGTTGTGGACGAAAAAGTTAGTACTTATACCAAGGGGAAACTGTTTAACACAGCAACAGTAAGCAACTGACTGATATGTCAGTTTTTTACGTATACTTTTTTAATGAATGAAAATGTTTTATAACATAAGAATAACAACATATATCTTGTGTCCTGAATATGTGTTGTGTGACGTATAACGCTATTGTCAATAGATTCGTCGTGGTATTACCATATTTGGGCCAGTCAAACTGTCACCCTGTCCCGTCATAGCTAATGTTTGACATAAATGATTATTTTCTTAGTTGCCATTTCTTTAAAACTAGTTTATAATCAAATGAGGATGAGTGTAACAGGAAAAGGGAGAAATATGGTGTCAGAATTAGATTTAAAAGGGTGCGCCTGTCCTGTTTTTGTCAGCAAAGCTAAAACAAACTGTACCTTGGGAACATTTTTGTTTTAATAAGAGCATTCAACGCTTAACTGTTGCGTCTGTTTCAAAACGAGTTGGTGACTAGAGAGAGACTTTTTAAAGTAGCGTTTTCTGAGAAACTGGGAGGCGTCCGATAATGGGCGCATGTGCATTTAGCGCACGTGTGTTACCCGCGGCCGGGAACCCGCCGAGAGTAGACTTCCAGTTAGCAATCATCATCAGCTAGCATTAGCCTCACATAGTTTAACTACCTACAACACACAAATACCTCCACTGTGAGAAAACACAACAGGGTCTTCCGGTGCTGGAAACACATCGGCCTCACTAGCTACGTGTCGATATCCGACTAAGTTTCTCGGAAGTAGACTGCACCTAACAAAGCATTTCGCAGGCATGCCCAAGTTAAACTAGTTCCCCAAACAATAGCGAGCAATACATGATAGCTCCCGCCTGAGTCGTGGTAAATATCACTTTAATGCTCTAACAATGTCTGCTGTACATACTTACATGAGTGGTTCTTAATTCCAAACAACCCTTACGTCGGTTATCCAAAAGGAGGGAAAGGGATTTCTTGTTTTAGCTCAAATAACTTGGCTAGGTGTGCTGTATCGCTGAAGGCCGCCCTTTGCTTCTTCTTCTGCTTTGATTAGATGCAGAGTCAACACAGACTCAGAGCAGTGCTGCCCCCTAGAGACAGCGGAGGGACACAGTGACAATCTGTAACTCTTGAGCCTAATAATAACAGCAAAGATTATATTAAAACCATTTAATGATAACATGTATTCTGTTGTGCATTTGAATTGTTAACAGCTGATTTGCTTTGTCAGGAAAACAAAACAAAAACAACTGTTCTGCAAACAAACAAACAAACAAACAAACAGCCTATGATAACAGCCTTAAAAGTCACGGAACGCATCGTATCACATTTTTAACATAAAAAAAGTTAACTACTATTGGTTTAAAACATGTCTGTCTTTACATTTTTACATCACTTTTACTGTTATTTTTTTTCCATTGAGTGAACTTTCAACAACCTGTCAAATCAATGTGGTGCAATGGCAGTGGTTTGAGCCAAAGATAAGTGTTTGTGAAACATTGAAGTTGTTGTTCATTTGTTATATTGCTTTATTTTTAGTTGTGCCTTCTAACTGACTGTGATCTAATGGGTGATTTACAAGTGTTTGGATGAGTAGATCAAATGTCTATGCACATAATGAGGCTGTTTGACACTCAGGATGTGCATGTTTGGTTATCTGCATACCAAAATTAGTTAGGCTTTTTCTAAGGCAATTGAACGGGACACATCACTGAACTGGAACTGACTCATTAACTTACTGAATATGAATTTGTTTGCCCATGTAAGTGATTTTCTATGTATTTTCTATTTATGGAGTAACCTTGAGAACTAAAAAAAGACTTAATGTGAAGTCTAACTTTCACAATGCTCTTTGCCCATTGCTTATGCATTGCTGAGATTGCTGTTTCCATTTTTATTATGAAATCTACAAAGCACATTAGAGTTCAGACTATTAAACCTAGAAGTATGAAAACTCCTCTCACCCTCTAACTCTTCTTCCTACAAACCTTCCTCTGGCAGTGATATTCCTAATCATTTCCTTTTTGAAATAATCAAAACATGAAGCCTCTTAGATCTTGTAAATGTGGAACTGTGTTTCATAAAGAGGCCAAGGACAACACAAGGAGTGATGAAATGACATAGCTTCACTTCCAGCATACAGTTCATTTACAATATATTATTGGGTTACTAGCTGCTCTGTTAGATTTCAGCTTATCCAGTGATGGATGAATTGTTTTTCACACACTTACATTGTACCTCACAAATGTATTTATTTAAAAAAAACATACCACACACAAATTAAATCTGCTCCTCAACACACATTGTATCGTGGTTGATTACATTATTTTGTTAGGGAGGTGGACATGACAATGTATCGGCTAAACAAGGATTATTTTACTCAGGAAGAAAATGCATTACTTTTAGAACATTGTGTACCTTCAAATGTTAATTTAATTAGCAGATTCAACTGTACAATGATATTGGAAATAAGAACCCTTTATTCTAATAATATGACATGAATATTATTATTGTTATGAGGAATGTAATAAATGATGACTTCTCTTTCAATATAATATGTATTCCAAATGCATGCACAGACTCCCAGCTGTACTGGTAACAGTTTGTTCTTAACATTATAAAAACAGGCTGAAACTCCTTTTGAATCCAATTATTATTATTCTTTTTGATCATTTGGTAATGTGCATCTATCTCCTTTCTCAAACAGGAGTATTTCAACAAAGGCCATTGGGTATGCTAATGTAGAGAAACCAAATATTAAACACCATCAATTGTCAGCATCTATCTTTGTGTTTACTGCACATTTGAGGCTTTTGCAAGCTTTTCATTCCGATGTATTCATCTTGATGTGATCTAAACATTCAGTGGATGTTTTGAGGCGATGGATGGAGCTGAAAATATTCAGATTCACGGGTATCGAGGGATGTGTCTGCTCTCATGAAGTGCATATCATAACTGCCAGGAGGAGGCGCTTATCTCACATTGTGCAGGAGCCTAACTGAGGAGCTGAATCACTAAACACTGTGAATATGTCCCCTGTTATCCTGCTACTCTTATGATTTAGCTGCCCTGACATTACCAAATTATGAATGACAATGGAGCCCAGCACAACAGAGCTGGAAATACACTCTTAGAAAAAATAACAAAAGATGAAACCCAAAGATATGACACTATTCATGCCATTTTCAGATCAGCAATTTGTCAAATAAACAATCTCAGCGGTGGAACTCAGACACTTGGAGTGCTGCTCTGTAAATCATACTGACAATAATGATAGTGGCACTTTGTTTTATATGGAGAGAAGATCTGTTCCCCACACTGACATGTTTATTTACAAGGGAGATGGAGGCAGTCTTTATGATTACAAAGGGAAAGCTATGTTATTAGAGTATGATTACTACAATCTGTAAATCTAGAGGCATTTGTTTGGAGGAAGTGGAGTCATATCATGTGTTGCTTAAAAAGGAAAAGCAACAATTAGACCTTCAGCTAATTAAACTATGTCCCTCAATTCATAGTCAAGGTACTAATACTTGTTTTGTATTTGTTTAATTCATTTACCACATATATTGTAAGTACATGTAGGCTACTTCGGCTAGTTCATTTTGTGCTACTTTGTGCTTCTACTCAAATACATCTCAAAGACAAATATTGTAGTTTTTACTGACAGCTATAAGTTACTTTTAAGAATGCATGTTTGCATTCTCTCTGTTTCAAGTGAATACCACACATCTCCAGATTTGGTGATCTCTAATTTGAATTTTTCTCAGCCCAAGGATCACATGTTTTAAAAAAAAAATTCTAAGCAGTAATACTTCACATTGACATAACCCTAAAAACCCAACTGCAAAATGACAAGAACATAAAAGTAAGAAGAACTCAGATCTTAAGTAAAAGTAATAATACTGCGGTGCAGAAATATTAACATTCTGCATTCAAAATGTTACTTGAGCACAAAATTATTAGCACAAAAGTATTAGCAGCAAAACATATTTAAGAACCTCATCTAGAAACAGACCGTGACAGACACCTGAAGCTCAGAATGACTTGAGCGTTATGTGTTAACTTGACTTGAACCACAATCACAGCAATGTTCAAGTGGCAGGGGAGATGCAGCACACAGGTTAACAAGTCAAAACAGGCTGGCAGGTATCTGTGGAGAAATGAAAAGACATCTCTTTAATCACACTAACACTGTTTGCCATAGATGTGAGAGGCAGGCTGTGTCCAGCAGGAGGCGTACCGTTAGACTAACACTGGATTAGCCTCTGGCCAATGGTGATGCTCAGGAGATTATTGAAGCAGTTTCTAAAAAAAACACTCCACTCAGTCAATGCTCCACTCTCGTCAGTGAACAGCTCTTGGTGTGGAGTTCAGCCTGATGCATGCCATGACTGCTTTCTGCCGGATACTGCTCCTGTTATCTGGTAAGGAGAGTTTTAACTTTGTGGATGAACTCAAACTAGTGAGGAACTGCTTGATAAGTTATTTTCATGGCACAGTGAGCTGCAGGTGAAAGCCTCAAGGAGGACGAAGTGTTATTCTAAGGGAGCAAGTCCAAACAAATTCAATGTATTTTGCTCTACAACATTTAATACTTTCCCACCATTTCAAATCTGAGCCTGGTTCAGGTGTTCAGGCAGAGCAGAGGTGGGAAATGTACTCAGATCTTGTACTTAAGTAAAAGTAGAAGTGCAGTACCAGAGTGTAGGAATACTCTGTTACAAGCAAAGGTGCTGCATTTAAAATGTTACTCAAGTAAAAGAACAAAAGTATTAGCATTACAAATATACTTAAAGTACAAAATGTAAAAGTACTCACAATGCATTTTGGTCCATTTCAGATTATTATATATGATATGTTTTGATTTTAAAGACGAACACGTAAGTTATAAATCCCCAACAGGTTACTTTATTGATTATTGATGCATTAAAGTGTTTATCAAAGCTGGTAAAGGTGTAGCCAGTTACTTTGTATACTGCAGGGTAGCTTGTGAATTTACTCCAGGTGTAACTAAAGTATGATTTAAGAGTTGATTATATTTCACATTATTATACCAAAGCTGCTATAGTAACGAAAGGTATTAAAAATAAATGCAGTGGAGTAAAAGTACAATATTTACTTCTGAATTGTAGTGGAGTAGAAGTACTAAGTAGCATAAAATGAAGTCTCTCAAAATTGTACTTGAGTACTTGAGTACATTTACTTAGTTAGTTCCCACCTCTGAGGCAGAGTAAAGCTTTCTGGTGTGAGATGTGAGTCAGTGTAAAGTTAAGTCTTTTTTTACTACTTTACTGTAACTCCGGGGTTTTCAGAGGGACTCTAGAAACACATGCATGTGAAAAACAAATGAATACCTTTCTAGATAGCGGTTGCCACTAAGTTGGCTATTTAGGAACTGTTTTTTTCACAAAATAAAATGTGATAGTGACGTATGATACAGAGATTGAATGATATGTGCATATACGAATATCAGCACATCAAACACATTGTAGTCATGCAGCCTTCAAAAAATAAAGAAGATCCAGTAGCCATTTACTGTAGAAGTTGGAAAAATAACAGAAACACCTCTACAAAGCATACAATGTAACAGCACATCATCATAAGTTATCATAATGGCAAAAACTAAGATGGCGCCGCAGATGGCCGCTTCGGTGCGCTTTGTTGTTCTTAATATAGTTCGCTATCTGTGTACTTTTTAAAATGTTGTTTTAAATGTTTTATGTATGCACCATGACATCAAGTCAAATTCCTTGTACGTGCGAACCTACCTGGCAATAAATCAGTTTCTGATTCTGATAAAGTTGTTTAACTCCTCTCTTGAAACGGTTCCAACAACAACAACAACAACAACTGAGTATTATAATCTTCATGAAGGTAGGATTTACTGCTGGACTGTACTCATTTAGTCTACTGTAGGTGTACCTAATAACATGGTGTACAAAAATATAACACCAATTTCAGTTTTTCACTACAGAATTGTCAAGGCCAAACAAACTTAAAGGTCCCCTATTATACTGTTTTTCATCAATGTGATGGAGACTTCTGAAGCAATGGAGACGAGACTCAAAGAGACACAAGGAGAGCAGGAACTTTGATGGCAAACACTGACGGTTTATTTGGAGCTTCGGCTGGAGAATTCACAAGACATATCGTGTGCCACGAGTTGACACAGCGGATGCCAAACCAATTCTGAAGATCTCTACCCCTAGACCCATGTATTTAGCTGGTTCTGAGAGAATCGTCAACATGCTGCATAACAAGATAAAACAGGCAAAGCACTATAACACCACATATCAGCTGACGCCAAGAGGCAGGAACAGGGAGACAAAACACTGAGAGCAGCACCCAAGGCTGCAGGTGCCTGAACTCAGTGAGGTCAGTACAAACTGATAAACTGGGTCAAAGTTATGGGCCTTGGAAAAATATTTCCCCAACAATCAATATATTATAGGTCTCTGTGAAGCTGACCGTTGAGCGGCCCAGACCAAGCAAGTAGGCAGAGGCAGAACGTCCAAAAATATAACCTGACGTGGGCATTTATTAAAATCATGTGCACAAAGTTCACAGCCTCAATCCTGCTGCTCTCCCTGCACACATCCTGCAGCCACAAGGATCTCACACACCCTACCAGCCTCTCAACAGACAGGGAAACAGAGCCTAAATACACACACTCCAATCAGCACAACAAGACACAGGTGAGGGGGGAGGAGACAACACAGGACACCAGGTGCACACAATCATCAGCCTGAAGCCGTCAGTCCATAGTGACGAAGTTACCTTCGTCACAGTCTCAGATACAAAAGATGTCTCTGAAGTGTTTGGCTCCAAATACCAAACAGATCATGCATTGTAGCATCCCATAAACCCCTATTTCAGCCCTGTTTCAGAAGTGCTGATTCTGGGTCTGTTACTTTAGATGAAAATAAGGAGCCACTCCCAACGCCCCTCTGAGAGAGATTTGGTTAAAAAGAACTAGGGCTGTCAGTCGATTAAAATATTTAATCGCGATTAATCGCATGATGGCCATAGTTAATCGCGATTAATCGCAAATTAATCGCACATTTTTTATCTGTTCTAATAGTACCTTAGAGGAATATTTTTCAAGTTTTTAATACTCTTATCAACATACGAGTGGACAAATATGCTTTATGCAAATGTTTGTTTATTATCATTGGAACAATGACAAATATTCTCCTGAATATTCTCAACACAACAACCTCTCTCTCTCTCTCTCTCTCTCTCTCTCTCGCTCTCTCTCTCTCTCTCTCTCTCTCTCTCTCTCTCTCTCTCGCTCTCTCTCTCTCTCTCTCTCTCTCTCTCTCTCTCCCAACCCTGTGTACTTCTTTGCACTGAGCCAGTTGCTCAAACAGACAAGCCTATTTAAAGTTGTCGGCGAAATGCCGCTCCTCTGTCTTCATCTTCAGTCAAAGCATGAGACTGAAGTTCCTGTGGGTCAAAATAATGCGCTGTGATGTGCAGTCGACACGTTGGATGCGATCCGAATTATCTAACTCAGCCCCTCGTCCTCCACAATGTTAAGCTGTAGCCACCCATTTAGCTACCGCTGTTGTTGTGCAGGCGTCTCCCCGGCAAACTTTCAAGCGTGGTCTGCCTCAAGCGAGCGGCAGGAGCGGGGCTGTCAGCATCAGCTGTGTGCTTGGCTTGCTGTTTAAAACACCTTTAACTTGACAGCCCTAAAAAGAACACAATGGTGCTCTAGGAGGAGATTCAGGTGAGTAGGTGGGGGGATGTTACCTTGGTTGGTTATTGGCTAATGGTTACACAAGCCAAAACATCTTTATGACATCATAAAGTGTCCAAAATCTGATCAGACAGGTTTTTATATAAATGGATCAGGACAAAAAGTGAGTGAATCTTTTTCCCAGAAACTTCCAGAATCTCTTTACACAGAGGGGACACATGCTGATGTATAAAAGACATGAAAAAGTGGATTTTGCATAATAGGTCCCCTTTAAAATACAAGTGGAAAGCTGGAGAGAGGAAAGTGTACACAAAGTGATATGATTGATGACTTGAGACGCCTTTCGTTATATTTAATTATGTATTTTTATTGCTAACACAATATCAAAATATCGTTTTTTTTAAAAACTGGTATTTTGTGACACCCCTAAATACTACAAAGAAGTCTTGATTATGGTAATTGTGCTGGAGAGATGGCAATTTCTAGTATTATGTATACCCATGAATATAACACCATATTTTTAAAACCTTACCATAAAAACACATCCAGAGAATATGGAATGTTTGTGTTGTTTACGAGACGAGAGTTTGTTCCTCCTCTTTCTTCACTCTGCAGTGGCTGTGGCCCCTGCGGTGACGCGCAGCTCCCAGCGGACGAAGAGAGGCTTACTGGAGCTGGCGGGAACCATCAAATGCAGCACGGGGAGATCTGCTCTGGCTTACATGATGTATGGATGCTACTGTGGGCTGGGGGGGCAAGGCTGGCCCAGAGACAAGGCGGACTGGTGAGGCCTCGGCTTCAATTTCATTTTTAATCACACTCTTTTAAAAAACACTGTCTGTCAAGTCTGTGTTTTTATTTCCAAGGATATCTGGACACATGATGATAGCGTGTAGCAGGCTGTAAACATCCAGCTGTCCCTATAAATGGACTAACTATACATTATGTGATGCAAAGGATCTAATTCAGCCCTTCCACAGATCATGCCTGCACATTATTTCCTCCTCTCAGTCCCCCTCCATCCTGCTCCTGCACACACACAGTTTCCGTTTCCCAATGAGTCGTCTGAACCACAGATGCTAGCCGATGGGTTAAAAGGAAGGAGACTCACATACTCCAATGGGTACTTCGAAATAAGCCCAAGAATTCCACACCCAAATCCTAATCGTCTCCTTTTTTCCTTCTTCGCCGCAAGCCACCGAAACCCCCTCAAACCAGGGAACTGCTAACTATCTGTTGTGAAAACTCATGTGGTGATTCTGTCCTGCCTTTTAAAATAGCCATGGTGTGTTTGAAACCACAGTGCTGTGACTACCCACCTACTGCTGTTTTGACCTTGCCTTGTGTAGTCTGGAGTTCAGCCTTCAAAATAAAACTAATTTCATGTTGTCTATCACAGGTGTTGCCACAGACATGATTGCTGTTATGGAGATGCAGAGCTTCTTGGGTGCCGAACCAAAACAGACCAGTATCAGTGGAAGTGTGAGGACAAGGAAGCGGAGTGTGGTATTGATTTTCTTTTGTGCTTATGCATGCGTAATATGTTGTGTTTGTAGAAGTAAGACAGCTGCTGTACACATAATGTTCTGTGCTTGGGTAAATCTGAATGTGAGACACAGATCAGGCTCTGTTTGATATACGGAAAAATCTATGAAAAACATTCAGCTGATTGGAGGGTAAGACAGGATGTTTGTAACATATATTTAAGCGCCCATAAACCATGGTGATGCCTCTATATAAATAGAAGCATACTTAATAAGGTGTACACACTCAATAACCAAAAATAGAGGCCTGTTGACATTCTTCAAATAACTCAATGTAGAGGAAATTATTATATCCACAATTTCTGTTCAGTAGTCACATTTACTCTAATTTTCAGAGAAGAAAATGATCCGTTAAAGGGTCCCTATTATACTCTTTAGGGATTTCCCTTTCCTGTTGTGTGTAATATAGGTTTCTGTGCATGTAAATGGTCTGCAAAGGCTATAATTCCCTTTCCCACACACTCCCCCCTCCTGCCTGTGGAGTCATGTGTTTACTTCCTACAACATAACAACATCATTATGTTAAACTTGCGCTTCTATTGGCTAGTGCTCCAACACATTTTACGTGATATGCTAAGGGGGGAGGGTTAAAATAAAACAATTAAAAAATGTGAAATAAAAGCAAAACAGAAAAAATACAGTAAAACATGGACAACTAGAAAATGCATTTCCTGCTGAAAATGCGTGTGAATGCTGTAAGCTGCGTATATTTGTTGCTGAATTTAGATGAAAAGCTGAATATATTATTAGTATGTTATTTAGTCTCTGGAGCTGTTTTTAGCTACAGAGACCAAGTAAGTGTGTTGCTGAACTTAGCGGAGAAATGCAGAAAAGTGAAATGATCTGAATCAAGATTGTTACAGCTCAAATGCATTGCACTGACTTTGTTGAAAACTTGAAAGTGAAATGTTAAACTGGAAGAGGAGGGAAAATAGCGATGAAGCTTAATATTTCAAAGAAAGAAAAAAAAAAAAAGGTATAACAACAAACTGTGTAGCCCAGGGGTGTCAAACTTAATTTCATCGCGGGCCACATTCGCATAAAGGTTGCACTTAAACGGCCGGTTGTAACTATATAAATATATAATATATATTAAATTATGTATTATATTACATTATTGCCTCTGAATTGGATTATTATCGGATAGGATAATAACTTAGTAATTAACTACGTCTGAAAGCAGAAGTCTAGGGCAAATAATTGCAAGTCTCTTCAGTGCGCATGTCACAAAACGAGATGCATTGTGGGACATGTAGTTTATGGGCAACCTGCTTCTGTAACGTGGCATGTACCCGTATAATAAACGTATTATATTCTTTGCAAGCTCTTGCGGGGCCACATCAAATGAAGTCGCAGGCCGGATTTGGCCCCCGGGCCTTGAGTTTGACACCCCTGTAGCCTCAATGTCCTGAAATAGCTGAATCATTTAATTCTGGAGCTGAAAGTAGGCTGAAGGAGTTAGATATGTGGTGTGTTCAACAGCATTCCACTAGTGTGAATGCTATTCAACAGCTGTGGAAGGAGTGTCATTTTGCACACGGTGTAGGTCAGGGGTGCCCAACCAGTTGATCGCGATCGACCGGTCGATCGCGGGGAGATTCCCAGTCGATCGCGAGATGTGTCTAAAAATAGAACAACAATATTCTGTTTTATCGTTAATGTCCTATAACATAATCTTTCTGTGCCAGAATAATGCACTTGAACGCATCAAAGCTTTGTGATTGGCCGCCGTGACCCCATGTGTCGGGGCGTGGCTAGTGGGCAGTGCACTAATTGCTAACGTTGTCCGTATCAACAGGAGTGACAGTCCGCACACAAACAAGACCGCAATTATGGCAGAAGCAAAACATATATAATTTTAACTCCGAGTGGGAGGATGATTATTTTTGTATTTATTCCAATTCAAAGTCCATCTGTCTCATCTGCAATGCGAGCGTAGCTTTATCGAAGAAGGGTAATTTAGGAGCGGCATTTCAAAACAGTGCACAAACGCTACGAGACGGAATTCCCTCCTAATTCTGCCCTACGCTCCCAAAAGGGGAGGGGCCTGAGAGGACAGCTAAATGCACAGCAGTCCATTTTCACCAGGCCCAACAACAAGAGCAAGGCTGCTACCATAGCATCTTATCGTGTCAATCACGTTCTTGCGAAACACATGAAGTCTTTCAAAGACGGCGAAGTTGTGAAAGAAGCATTCCTGGAGGCTGCCGACGCGCTTTTGGGGGACAGTAAAAAAACGGTAGCATTTCAACAGGTTTTTGATATAATAAAAACTCAAGTTAGATACCGTTATTAATAAGCTGTAAGTTTTAGTTTGTTTGAACTTATTCATTATAATTATTGTACAAAATGGTTGATAATAGTCTATTATCAATTCAGGTTAAGAAACTAGTGTTGCTTGCATCCTATTTTAAAGGAATTTCTTTTTATAATCTACTCAAATGCAACAAAAAAAGGGTTTGATTCTATTAATTTTGTCTATTTTATTGCACTGTTGCAGCAGATTCCTGTGTAGCTTCAGATCTGAGTTGTCTTATTAGTAAGCCTAATTTATACTTTTGTAGCAACACTATTTTTATATAATGGCAAATAAAGGGTTCAGAGTCTTTTCTTTTGTTCCTGAGTCATATGTGGCAGCACTGTTCAATGTTTCTTGAAAACATGCACTGTAGTGTGACGTGTGAATAAACACCAACTCTGTATCAACAACACTGTCGTGTAACTTCAGTTAAATACTTGTATGTGTGTAGATTAGAAAGAGGTAAGATAAAGGATCTGCAGTATTTTATGAAGTATTCATCGTACAAAGGTCAGTTTTATACAAGTAGAAGTGTGTATTTACCTGGTAGTAAGCTGTCAGTAATGGCTACGCCTCTCTATTTGGCCTGGTAGATCTCGGCAGACTGGCAACTTTAAAAGTAGCTCTCGGTTCAAAAAAGGTTGGGCACCCCTGGTGTAGGTAAAAGAGGATTTTAAGTGTTGTTCCATAGACACCCATTATAAAATCTAAAACGGCCTGAAAATTTACCAAAACTTAAACGTTGATAATTCAAAAACTGTAAAAGATATCAAAAATCTGTATACAACTTTAATAGCTGATGATTGTGATCATTTCACACACACAAGGGAGAAAAAGTTGGAATGAATTATCTAGCCGAAAGTATGTGGAAGGAGTGCTTTGCACAAGGTGTAGCTAAAAGAGGATTTGAAGGTTCCTCCCATTGAGTTACATGTTAAAAAAAGAGTTTAAAAAGCTGAATATTTTGAAAAAGTTTTTAAAAAATGTAAAGTTTCTCATCATGTGCTGAGGAGGCTGAATATTTTTGATATTTGAATGGCTTCTGTAGCTGAAAGTAGGCTGAAGTTGTTTGACGGCAAAACATGGGGAAGAGGAAGAAGAACATTAAAGAAACAGAAAAACAATAGTGGAATGCTGTTGCACAGCACTCCACTAATGATACCAGTGGGAATTGAAAGTTAACCCAAATAAAAACCACATTAAAAAGATAGGTTTTTAATTGACTTTTAAAGATTTCAACGGAGTTTGCTGTTCTAAGATCCACGCGGAGGCTCTTCCATAGTTTAGGGCCGTGAAAACAGAACGCAGCCTCCCCAGGTCTCTTGTGTGATACCCTTGGGATTTCTAATAGCAGGGCAGTGGAGGATCTAATGGTTCTTGTTGGAACATAAAAAGAAAGGCAATCGCTGAGATAAGGTGCTAGGTGATGTAAGGCTTTGTAAGTTAATAAAATGACTTTAAACTCGATACTAAAGGAAACAGATAACCAGTGGAGTGATGCCAGCACAGGTGAATTGTGATCTCTTTTTGTGGTGGTTTTGAATAAGGCTAGACTTGTTTGTGAAACGAACAGCCAGGGAGAATGCATAAACATTAACACAATGTTGTTGAGAAAACTTTAAACACTTAAGGAAGACATGTGTGTTCTTTATTGCAGATGATCTGGAGGACAAATGTGAAAAGATGCTGTGCAAGTGTGACAGAAACGCTGCCAAATGTTTGAGAAAAGCACCCTTCGACCAAAAATATGCCCTATGGCCAGATTTCCTCTGTGGCCACGACCATCCAATGTGTAGTATTTACTGACACAATATTATTTTTTAAAATATTTTTTTTATTTTTTTATTTTTTTCACAATGAGTTACATTATAGGGTATTCTTCCCTCCCCCCTCCCGGTCCTACATAGTAAAGTAGATAAATAAATAAATACATATATAGGTAAAAATAAAGTAATGTAAAAAAAAGAAAAATACACACACATTTACATACACATATACATACACATATATACACATACACATACACATACACGCACGTGCATACATGTATAATACAATAATAAAATACATGCATAGTCACCCCTTCCTTCTTAACTTAGTGTCTTTAGTTCAGCTATGGGCTATCGCAGAGCCCCAGACAGATTCAAATATTTCTGATGAGCCCCTCAGGTTATATTTAGTCTTCTCCAAGTTCAGATACAACATAAGATCTTTAAGCCATAGAGATGCTTTAGGTGCTAACGAGGATTTTCATTCTAGTAGTATTCTTCTACGTGCTAATAGAGATGCAAAGGCTATACTGCCCTTAGTTTTCCTCCTCATCATTCGGTGGCCAGGTAGTACTCCAAAAATGGCAGTTTCTGCACATGGTGTCAATACCATGCGCAAGGCCTCAGCAAGGTGTTTGAAAATGCTTGTCCAGTATCAGTTTACTGACACAATACAAGTGCCTTTTGTAAATAAAGCATTTAACATTACTCATGCTAATGGCATAAATATCTGACTTGTATTGTTTTTCTTTACTGTTATCAGACTCTTGAATTAAAGTTGAAACCGATAAGGAAGTGTGTATGGGGTGATATAGAGTTGTTGCAAACACCCTGTCTTGACTCCAAGCTGCAGTAGAATCACACAATGAAAAGGCAACTTGAGCGTTCCTCTGCCGAAACTCAGACAAAACCCAACCCGGATGTCAGATGTTTATCCGGGAGGGAACGATCAGATCTGCTGCTCACAACAACAGAACTTTTATTTGTTGAATTACTGTGCAGGGCATTGCCCGAATTAAAGCTCTGACGTTGACTCAGCTTTTTTCTGGCTAGTGTTGATTCAGTGGGGGTTTAAAAATAGGGTTCTTAGACATTTGGAAAGCCAATGTGCAAACTGAGGTTTTCCTACTTTGCTATTTTTAAAATCTGCTGTGACACTTTCTTTCCTTTTTTACCACCAAAACCCATGTATGAAATATTGTCGCTGCAGGTCTTACATGTTCACTTCCTTTAAAGGCATTAGAGTTCCACTACACTCTTACAGATTGTAATACTTAAAATAACTTTTCACCACGGTCAATAAATAGCTATTAAGTGATCTCATGTGATGTCATTGGCTGTTCATCATCACTTGGTTATTATATGATATCTATAGACATTGGCCTGCAGATGGTGCCATATTCACAAATAGTACACTTGAAGCCCACTGACACAACAGGAAATATGCATTTATGGAAACATCCTTGCACAATAAGAGTCTTAATATGACTAACGTTAATACAAAATATATTATTTAAATATATTAAAAAAAGTGATTATGCATTGAATTTCCTTGTGGCCTGTTGTTGACTGAGTGTTTGAATGTTTACATGCTCTAAATTAGATTTATTTTGGTCCAGTTGGTTTTGGATTTGGCTTGGGAACCTCCCCAGTGAAAGTCCCACTCTCAAGTCCTAACCCCATTTCCCCCCACACCCAGTAAACATGACCACCCGGCTGTAATCAGAGTAAACACAGCCCTCCCAGATGTGACTGCTCAAGTGAGTTTTTACGCTGCGAAGCTCCGTCCGTGAGTTCACACGGGAAACTCAGTTTCTTTGTTGAGTGTGGACTGAAATGCGAGATGATGCCGTGGTGCAGTGTCCAAAGCCCGGGACTGGAAATAAGTATCTGGGTCATGGCCCACAAACACTTGCCTGATTATGTCCAACAAGCGGGCATGAGTTGTGAAGTTATGGAATTCATACGCCTCAATCCGAGTCCCACTGTCCTGTTAAAGTGTGTTGTTCTACTTCTGTTCAAACAAGAAGAAAAAGGTATGGAAATGCAATTAATACAACCACTGTGTAGTTAAAGTAATAATTAGGAAGCCATCAACTGCCATGTTTTTTCCCCCTCCCTTTTTCCAATGATATAAATTCGCATTTATTATTTTTCTCGAGATCACAAGTTATTTATGTGATTATCTCCAAATAAAAAATGGTCTTTCCCTTTCATTAAAAGGTAATGACAATCGTTCAAGTAGCCTACTTTATTTCCTCCGTCAGTTAATTTTTGTTTTCAAGAAGAAAGGTTATTTATGTCATTATCTGGAAATACCAAATGTTGTTTTACCGAGATGAAGAGATAGGTCCTATCATGTTTAGTTAATGAACTGTTTTCTTGTGATCTCAACAAACACAATTAATGTAACCATTGCCTTTCGGGGCTTCCGTAACATGTAAACATCTTGTGTTGTATAAAAATAAACATTAACTAACCTGTTTTTGATGGAAGCCATTAATGGCCATGACATTTTATTTTTTTGTTTTTTTCCTTTTTCAACAACTAACTTGTATTTGTGTCCTCGAGAATACAAGCCATTGGTGTCATTATCTTGGAATAACAATGTTGTTTCCCCTGGATAATGGGATGATTTTCTTTGGAAATGTACATAATTCATTTGAAATCAGAAAAATAAAATAAACGTTTTAATCTGGAATACAGATCATTTTTTGATGATGACATAAAAACACATGTGATCTCGAAAGTACAAGTAAAAGGAAAATAAAATGATTGAACCATGGCCAAAATGAAATGTGCTCTTTTTCTTAGCTGCAGTACATTATGAGTCCGTACTGCAGCTGTTTGAATTCATGAGATCTGAAACTGATATGAAACATCACAATTGCAGTACCCTCATCTATTTAGCCTTACTTATGGATTAACACAGGCTTTCTCAAGCAAGTTACAGGTTTAGGATAAAGATTACCAACATAATTAGCAACATTGTTTTGTCAGATGTATCTGATTAAATTGGCCGAAATAAGCTGTCTCATGAGGACTGTGACCTTTCCAGTTTTTCAGCTCTCGACTTTGTTGATGATCTCTCTCTTGTCCGGTTCTGTCGCCAAGTGCCGACATCACACCGTCTGTTTGTGCTTCATACGCATCCTATCCACACCGAATGGCTCTTCTGTCTTTTATGGATCATTGCATTACAGAGCACCTTTTAAGTTGTCTTTTTTTGCAAAAATAATATCATTACTTTCATGATACACTATTGTATACATTGTGATACACATATTTTTTTGGTATAATGTATGAGTATAATGTGCACACTTTTACTTGTCTATGTTACTATACATATCATGGGCGTAGGAAGCATCCTCAACGTGGGTGGGACAATTTGACGCGGGGTGTGGGCAGGTGGTGGAGGGAGGCGTGTGGTGCAGTGGGTTGTGCGTTGGTGTTAGGATCAGGGGGGCACAGGCTCAAACCCCACTGCAGTCAGCGTGTCGTTGTGTCCCTGATATACTTCCCCCCAAATTGCTCCTGTGGGGATTGTCCACAGTATTGAGTATGTTAGTCGCTTTGGATAAAAGCGTATAACAAGTAACATGTAATGTAATGTAATGTTTTTTTTAATGTTGAAGTTAAAAGCATCAATCTGGTGCACTTTGAGAGCAAAGTTAGGGACTAGATCTATGGATACATACATCTCTCAAGACCCATATGAAACAGAACTGTTTAAGACAGACTTACTTTTTTTAAATGCATATTTTACAAATCACTCCCCTTTTAAACTGTATTTTAGTTTGACTGTCGTCTGAGCTGGAATTATTTCATACCTGTTATTCTCTTATTTTGTATAATGATCATATAAAAGATGTGCCTTGGAAATACTTGTTTACATGAGATAACTTAGACTAAAGTCTCTCGTTCACTCTCTCTCTCTATCGCTCGCTCACACAAAATGCGCTCCTCGTGCCACACACATAGCCAAGCTATGACACACAAAGACCCATAATAACTTAATGCTGTATCCTATTCTTTTCGATGGCTTTATTGTATGATATGACAGATGAACAGATCGCCACTGGGCTTACAACTAAAGACACAGCTACGCACAGAACGCAGCATGTGTACGGCTCTGAGAATCTGCCTTGGTACAAAGTAGCAGGGAAAACATGGGACGGAGTTTCATTGATTTGGGCATTCTCTCAATAAGCAAGTGGAATGGATTTGATAATGAAGCACCGACACAGCGCTCTACAAAGGGCGGCGAGTGGATAGACCGATGCACGGACTTTCCACATGGTAAACTAATCATTTTAAAATGTGGGGGGGACTTGTCCCACCCTCATATAATGGCTGCGTCGCCCATGATACATATTTTATTTCATTCCAAAATAGAGCAACTGTAACGAAATGTAATTTACCGCAGGGATAACTTTCAGCTGGGCGGTGGTGGCGAAGTTGATAGGGACTTGGCTTGGCAACTGGAAGGTCACCAGATCAAGTCCCGGCAAGAGCAAGTGCCACCGAGGTGTCCCTGAGGCACCGTTCCTTACACTCTTCCCCGGGCGCCGTTCAAAATGGCAGCACACTGCTCCTAACACTAGGATGGGTCAAATGCAAACAATTTCCCCACGGGGATTAATAAAGTATATCAATATAACAAAAAATATCAATCTGTATCCTATTTTGATGCTGCCTGGTAAATTGTAGAGCTGGCATACAAACCCTGGTTCCAAACTGACCTCATATGAAGATTTCTGAAGTGGTGTGGCCCCCCTGAGGAAATCCTGTGATTGTGGAAACGCCCATCCACACATGTGCATGACAGCGTGGTGGTCACAGTGATTGAGAGCATCTCTCTGCCGGGCGAGCTGACTGAGCCTGTTCCACGCTAATGTCGTTCTTTAATCCACTGTTTGGCTCCCCAGCCGAGAGCCAGATGGAACACAATGAAGTCCTGGCTTACACAGCTCAAAACATAAACAATAACAACCATGTGCAGAACAAAGTATGACTTGCTCCCAGCAGAAGATTTGGACTGCTAGTATAACATGGTGTGTGGTTTCCAAGTTTATATCACATTGATTGTGATAATTTACCACAGATGAACTAACTGTATTTTTCAATTATTTAAAATGAATGAATAACAACTGGAGTGCTGTTGAGTAGCTACACAGTTTCAAAGGAATACAATACCGAAATGTATTGTATACAAATCCATGTTTAGTTCAGAATACTACTGCCCACACAAACAAGGAAATCAATGTTCCAACAGCAGACCTGCTGCCAAGTTAATAGGCATGCTTGTTGCAGTCTTTTGTTCTCCTCCTCATATTTTCGTCTCTGTTGTGTGATTTGTTTCCAATAATTTGTTTTGATTGGCAAGTGACATGGAGACATTAGAAAAGAAAACAACACATCCACTTAATATGGAAGAAGACCTGCAACCTAATAGAAGCTTACTTACTTATATGGTGAGAGGTCTTTATTTTAATATTGGTCAAAAATGCTTAAACACACACTAGACATTAGTTCAGCAGTAGTTTAGTTTATTGCTTATGCCTTCAGCAATTAGATTAAACAATACATTATTTCAAAGTGAAAACTAAATATAAACCATAACAGCTTTGTTGCGTTAAGAATGTCATAAAACGTAATATCATAGCAATACTTTAGCAGTAAAAAAAGCGTTTTTTAATTAAATTTTTCTGTTTACTTTTTGAAAGTATAGATGTGTTTTTTTAACATATTGATATTATTAGATATAAAAGACAAAATCATAAAGAAATAGACAGAATACTTTTTTTTATATTCTATCAAGATGTCATTGGGGGAAAATATGATACATAAGAGTGTTGTTTACAAGTGTACTAACATTTGAATAGTGACACAGCACAAAACTCACCCAATAACATGGCAGAATAAGAATAGGCTTGTACTTTGTTGCAATAAATGCAGAATTATGTGTGCACCATCTGTTATAACCTTAAGCTTCCACCAGGGGAGCAATTTACAGAATTACATGAGTTGATCAAAAAAAGGAAGCTGACAAAAGAAAAAAAATTGTCAAACGGTTCCAAATAATTATGTTGCCATTTAAACAAGTTTTAACTTTGCTTGGTGTGACCCATATGGCCAATTAGTTCCAACTTTGGAGGTATTTGTTGTTTAGCTGATGACAGCACATTTCCTGCATTGTGTTGTTTCCTAATTGGAAGTGCAGGCATTATTCCATACAATGCCACAACAGGCATTAAAAGTGTATATCGTTAAAACGTAATGAATGCAGATACGTATTGTGTTGCTATATCTGTTAAAATAGCAGGTGTGAAAAGGCAAACATATTTTGAAGGGTCCTGATAATTGCTTTCCTAATGTTGTAGATGAAATCTTATGAGACACACTCATTTCCACCAGTGGGATATGCACATACATATTTATGGTAAACATTCTTTTGAGATGACATTCTTCTCTTATTTGACCAACTATACTTTTACCAGATAATGTTGATTCAGTTTAAGTTATTTTTCTTTCACTATCTGTCAATCCATCTGTGAAAAGTTCAGCAGCAGGAGGGGATACAAACAATATGAATGAAAGTGCTTTGATTTCTTCATGTTTTTAAAATGGATTAGGGGACCATGAGTCATGAGTTTTATTACAGTATTGTTGAAACTATTCACAAGACACTATAGAGGTTACCATGGAAATGAGCTGCTGGTACTGCAGCATAACATATAATCATACGGCCTTGACTTAATCATGAATATGAATCTATTTTATTGCTGACGTGAAAAAAATCTGAGCACCCACTCTGCATAAACAACACCACTCCACCATGATATGAAATTACAATCAGAGGATAAGCTAAAGGGATAAAACATTGTTGTTTACATGGTTAGAGCTTCTGATTGTCATTGAGAAAAAAAGTTGCCATCTGGATTTTATTAAGGTATTGATTAGTTAAATGCAGCATTTCTCCTCCCACTGATGGTAGATGAAAATTGGGTTGTTGTAATGCTTTCGATTTGCTGACTGTTTTTTTATTTTTAAACACGGCAGCAGGTTCCAGGAGTGTCATTCCGATCACCATGTGTCAGTTAACAATGAGTCACTTTAACAGAAGGAATATAATGTTACACTGCAGTGTGAACCAGATATGAGTCATTCATGCTGCTACAACAAGCGTTGCCACGGAAACTGTCTGCCTTGTGTCTTCTGAGTATGTATGATTATAGTGAAATTATGACAATATGAGGGAAAACAGGAAATTGTTAGGGCTAATGGAACAAACATCATTAAATAATATTTGATTACATCAAGAAAAAGCACAAAGATACTAGTGAGTACAGTAAAAATGAAAGCAGATGGGATTATTGGCAATCAACTGTTCTTGGTTTATAACATAATCCTTGTTTTGAGATATGAATATATGTCTCAAAACAATCGTCAATTTAGAAGATATCTGCCATTTCTACCCAATTTGTCAGTAGCACAGAAACACGTTTATTGGCTTCAAATACAGTACTGTTTCAACATAGCTGCATTTTGCCTTACTACACTTTACATTAAGTTAATATAGATATGTTGATTGTTAACAGACCCCAGACAAGTGAGTAAAAACGCATGTATATCAGATATTACACCAATTAAAATACTCTGATAGGAGACAGAAACATACACATGTAGGTCATATTTGTGTCGTACTGCAAATTGACGAGATTGTACTATTAGCAGATATTTTTTTAATAACCACAGATCAGTAGAGTATGTACATGCGTTTATATTGTTACAATGTATTACGAAAGTACCATAGAGTGCCGAACAGATTCAAGTCACATGTTGTTCAAAAGGCACGGACGGGGTTCGAACCCGCGATCTTCGGTTTACGAGACCGACGCCTTACCACTTGGCCACCGCGCCTGCGCTGAAGCCAGGTCCTCTATGTAATAAGTATAACAACTACAGTGTCGCCGCTGTTTACCTATAAAGGTGTGGTTCTAACTAAAAACTATTGTCCTCTACATAGCAGTGAGGCTCGCCGTCCTTACTCGGAAAATACAGAGGAAATGAGCAGATGAGGTAGGTTTACAGAATAAATGTATTGCTGTCATCCGGCCACAAGGGGAGGCTGTTATCTTTAATGTGTGAACAACATGTGTCTTTTTAAAAAATATTTCAGAAAGCAGAGGTCTGTGCTCCAGTACCTCGTGTGTTCACAAAAGAAGCACTGTCATTACCATGAAGGTGAGAACTCGCTCTTTACAGGCTTTGTTTTGATAAACATGACTTGAGAGAAGTGCATGTACTTAATTAAAAAACAAACCAGTGCAGCTAATGCTACTTTCAGGCCGTAATACAAATGGACACCCTCCAAAAACGTGTAGGATGGAATACCACAGAATAATATGCTATTCTTGAAATCTTGATGTTGTGTCGTGAACTGGAAAGTTGATAGTTTGGTCAAGACTTCATTATCCTGGGATCTTGAATCACGTCAATCTACCCATTGGATTACAACATGTATTGTCCACATTGCTTAAAAGTGAAAGAAAACGTCAGGATTTAGCCACTTGAGTGATATGACCATCACTTTTTGAGAGACTTCATACAAACACACTCAAAACAATAAATACTATGCCACCAGATACTACCAGACTGAGACACGTTTGCATTGCTAATTACTATGAGAACCAGTCGGCTGCTATTATTTTTTTCATAGCAATACAATAATGCATGAAGCACAGACTGCATCATTTCACTGTCTTTGTTTCCAAAACATCAAAGATGAATGCTCGCCTGAGGGGCTTCTTTCTCTCTTTTTTGGATCAGATATCCTAGAGGCTGTGTGAAAAATGAATAAGACTCATTCCCATTGGGAGTGAGTTAGCAGTGAAAATCACAGATGTGGAGTTCACCTTGACCTGCTTATAGCAAGGCGTTAGCACACAGACCAAAAGAGGGGTCTGACTTGAATAAACCACTGTTGTTGATTTAATTCAGAACACTTTGAAATGGGACTGTTTCTCTGAAAATCCAGCCATTCTTAATTTTTCCATCTGTTCGAAATTTTTACCTAAAATAATCATTTAGACAGCAGTTATACCTGTTATGTAGAAATTGTTTTCAGATATGTGCTTTCAAGTCCAAAGGGAAAGTGTGAATGTTGACTGTAGAGCTGTAACCCTACTAAATATTTATGTTTTTATTTAGGATTGATGTTTTTTGTGGCATTAATATGAAAATGTATCCGTCATAAAGCAAGCTACAGAACCACTGATGATAAAAGGGGATAAGCATCCTTAAATTAGCTTTTTTTTTTAAATAGCTTGAGGTGCTTATAGATTATTTTATAATGTCACATGAAATTGTGTATTTAAGCAGCTCTTCTTAATTATCATAAACCCCAACATCACAACCTGAGAGACACAATGTGTTCCAGTCAGAGATCACATGGATCTGGGGCATTTTTTTGTTCATGTGGAGAACAGTCAGCAGCACACTCCCTGAGAGAATAAGAAGTATTACTGTAGCAATCTATTTAATTATTTATCAGGCGATTGCTTTGAAAAATCATCATATTTTTGCTGTGCTTCTGCAGGATACACCCCTGAGCCCTGAATATGTGGGAATATTAATATTTATTTTATTCACCAAACCCTTTTATTTTTTATTATTTTCTCATAAGACCAAGAGTGAGACGAAGGAAGACGTTCTTGTCTGCATTCTGGTAACTGACCAGCAAAATGGTATGCTGCACTAATATAGCAAGCTTCATTCTTTTTATAAGCATGTTAGCATTGTCACCTTAGACTTAGAGCAAAAATAAAAAAAACTGTATACATGAATACAATTGAAAGGCAGCTAATGAGGAAATGACCACAACTGTGTGTGTGTGTGTTTTAGAAATCATAACACCATTAGCCACATCTGAGCTAGCCCTCCTGACCATCTCTGTACCTCAGGTGTTCTCCAATTGAAGTCGCTCTAAAAAAAACAAGATATTGTAAATGAGTTGGCTATGGAGGTGTAATTTTGCTTACCTTTGGAACGCAGCCAGGCTAACTGATATCTACTGTTTTTAGTCAATTGTACTTCTCAATCAAACGATTATCTAGAAAATGGTGATAAATGTCAATCAGTGTTACCCAAAGCCCAAGATGATGTCCTCCAAGTCCAGAGATATTCAGTTTACTAACTGACATCAATTTCACTGAATCATTTTCTTGGACAATGAAAATAGTTTAGTTATGTGAAAGCTTGTGTTACCATGCAACACGGCTTTTAGCAATTTAATCTAATTTCCTTACATTACATATACATTGTATAACATAACTAAACTGAGCTTAACTATTATTAAAGATGTATGAGTTAAAATGGAAAAAACTTGGTTAAAGCAATGTTGTGCCAGGAAATATTTACTATCATACTGTACAACAACAAATATGTCCTTGATATCAAGCTGAATAACATATCAGACATCCTTCATTTCAGATCATTCGAGTTAGAGAGAGAGAAGTTCTAAATGTTTTATGTGAGGGACTGCGGATAGAAATGAGCTCAAAGCTAAATCTGGCACTGTTACGCTTGACACATTTGAATGTTTTAAGTGTTCATTACTGTGCATTGTCCCTGCCAAATAAACGATACGATAAAATAAATAAAAATAAGTTGTGAAGAGCCCATCCTTTTAGCATTTAGTAAGTAAGTTTAGTAAGTAAGCAACTAAGCATTTAGTAAGTAAGTTTAGTAAGTAAGCATGTAGTAAGTAAGTTTATTATAATGTCTTTAACGTGTACTCTTCCCTGTCTTTAACTATTTGTTGTAGTTGTGATATTCAACCAAATGCATGTTTGTGTATATATATATATATATATATATATATATATATATATATATAAATATATAGCACTGACAAGTTAAAATCTTGAAGTAATATGTGTTTTTGTATCACAATCCAGAGAAATGCAAGTGGTAGCCAACAGCGTGGGTCTTTGCTGGTGCTGTGTGAGAAGAAAATGGCTCATTGTGAGAAGGGTATGCTGATGTGACCCCGCCTACAGCCAGACATGCAAGTGTGAAATCCAGTTGAAAGGTAAGCAGCTGATAAAGCTATACAACAAAGGCGACATTATCTCTCCCCCTCTGTCCAAAACATCTTGTCATCCATCTCTCTTCTCCATACGTTTGCATTCACGTCCTCTTTCTCAACTTCTGCAGATAGATTTAATCAAATATAACTTTGTCATGCAGTTCATTGAAAAGCCTTCGGGGCTGAAACGTGTTATGTCTAAGAAACACATTTGATTTGACACTACTTAGCTTATGCTTTTCTTTTATTCCGTTTTTAATGTGTCTACTGAGCAATTAGGTGCACATCACTAATGCCTGTTGGGTCTGTTACCATAGCAACGATCCGATTGTGCAGACAATCATCTGGTCCTTGTTTCCTCCAATAGGGTCGCACTGCTGAAGCTGCAATATAAAGTAAAGATGCTCATCTTTCAGCAACACACTAGTAAGAATCAGAAACAGGTTCATGAGTATGAGGAAGTGTTGCAGAGTGGCAGGCAGGGGACTGCGCCCAGTCATGGCGGACCACAGAAACAAGATCCGACGAGCCACACAGCAGGAGAGGAAGGTGAGAGCATCTACCATTTTGAAATTAAACTCCTCTTATTGTTCAGTGAAAGAGTTTGGCGGAACAAGACAGTGACATTAAACAAGGAACGCCTTTGCATTCAGGCTTTGAACGCAAAAAGAGACCAAGTGTAACAAAAGGGAAGTGTCACTTTAAATGAAATGCACTGGTTGCATGAATGCTAACAGACAGACAGACTGCTTATAAAGATATACATGTAGTCTGAACCTTCTCAGGTTCAAATTTCACTTGGTGGGTTAAAAGAAATCCAGTTGATCTTTGCTTGGAAATAATGTCATTATTACGTTTCACAACACAGTTATTTATTCCACATAATCTATTGTTAATGAAAAAACACATTTTAAAGTAGTTGGATACAGTTGTGGCCTCATCAAAGAGACCTCCAAATCTCATCAATCAGAACATCTGAGGAAATGATGCGTTCAGGGACAATCATGGGGAGCTTTGAGACCAGGCTTGTTGAAATCAAAGGCCTGAGAGCTGAGATCTTTTTTTTTACAGGCTATCTGTATCCTTCAGAGAAAAAATAAATGTGGTCAGTTAATTTGCGGCTTGGAAAAGGACAACAGCAGCATGTTCAAGCTGCCCCCCTACTGGGCGGCCCATGAGCCTGTCGATGTGGTGGTTTGATGTTGGATGGAAAATAAGAACCCCCCACAACAAACAGAGAGGGCTGGAACAGAGAAAGAGAGGGTAGAAAGGGAAGAACCATCGACAGATGGACTCTGTTGTGATTAAAGATGGCGGCAGCCTTTACTGCAGACTACGAAGGACTATACTCGATCCATAAAAAAGCGGTGGGAGTTGTCTGCGATTCAACACAACAGAACCAAGAACCTCACAGTAAGGTAAACCAGCAGGTATGATGTCTGCTTTTGAATCTCTGAGGATGAAAACTACGGTTACCAGCAACTTTCCATTGTGTTGTGTATCGCTCTATTATGTCTGTTATCGTTGCTCCTCTCAGTGCCATACTGGTTTTGTTGTGTCCTCCCTTTCATCAAAACCGAAGCAAATCATTTGATTTGACCAGTGAATGTGCATCCCATGACCAGAGTCCTGAAGAGCCCGATAGACTAAAGGCTTAAATTAATTTTCATTTTTTCCAAGCCAGCAGACGTCTGACAGTGCACTTTCACCGTTTGGTACATGGTTACGGATGTATGTCTTTGTCATTATATCACCATAGGAAATATGTTCCTTCTTTAATATGATTGTTTTCTTCTTGTGGGAATATGGTGGTTTGTGAGCTTTAATATCCATCAAAATAAACTCAAGTCTGAAAATTGCTCAATCGTCTGTGCCTAATCCACTCCCAGGCTTGTTAGTCATGATATATTCAGCCAGGACAAAGGACATCAGCAGGACTCCAGAATACATTTTCTGATGGTCTTTTGAAATGACGCTTTTAGTTCAGAACTTAACACAGACATTGAATAAATGTAATATGATATTTTTTTTTATTAACACCCTGTCTTTAATAATAACTCAGTCTATCACATTAACGGTTTTGAGTGTCTGAATAACTAAAAGCCCCGTGTATGTTAACCATTTTTTATTTTGAGCGTTTTTTTTTAACATGTCTTGTCTTGTTGTTACTTTTGTTCTTCTCAACTTTTATTTACATTTTTTTAATATAGCCAGTTTTATAAAGTAAACATCTCTATTGTTTGCACTTCATTTATACGTCTTAATGGGCTTTTGTTCATCAGAGAGTCCTCAACAGAGATAAGCCTTTCTGCCAAGGCCTCTACTAGGGAGTGTAAATCCACACTGACAGGTGGAACAAAAGAATGAAAGGACTGAGTGGGAAACATTAAGTTGTCCTCTAGTAACACTTAACTGCAGAAGGATGTATGACAATTCAACAAATATTTGAAAACTTGAAAATAACCCCTAATAAGAAACAGATCTTTCACACCTTGCTTTAAAACTAGTATATTAATAACCTTTTTGCAAAGGTACACCATTTGCTTTTTTCTTCAATTCAAATAAATGTCACTGATCAGTCAACACAAAAAAGAACGAGTCTCTTATTCAAGGCCTTCAAGAACTAGATGTATTTATCTATTCTGACACAAAATACTTATTTTACATAAGCCTAGCTGATTTCATAAATAAACAGATCTGGAGCGAAGAATCGCCTTCTATTACATTACATTACATTGCATTACATTACATTGCATTACATTACATTACATTACATTACATTGCATTACATTTAGCTGACGCTGTTATCCAAAGCGACTTACAATAAGTACATTCGACCAGGAAGATACAACCTTGAAGAAAACAGAATCATATAAGTACATCAGGTTTCATAGAGCCAAAACATTTCAAGTGCTAGCACATTTCTATTGTTCCTCTGTCTGCGGAGCAGCTCCACAGGGCCAGTTGCTTCAGGGCTTCATGTTTGTAGTTGCTGAGAAAGGGAAGAGCATTTTTCTTTCCAGACATTTCTAGCTGTTCGAGGGATTCACTTACTAACCTTCTGGTCACACGACTTACTGGAATCTGTGGTGCAGTTTGCTGTAAAACATGTTTGTGAAGTAGGTTGCCAGTAGAAGTCAAAATGCCCTGTATTATTGTATGGGGATAGCAGGGGTTAAAAGTCTTAGTGGTGCAAATACAGCTTACCGGATGGATTAATGCACTGTGAATACATGAATTGTTGATAATAACAATTGTAATATAAGGCTGAATGCTCAAAGCTGTCTGTAATGAAATTATAATTTTATGATAATCCTGTTAGGTCAGTGATGATGAATGTATGCAGTGTTTGAAAGGTTATTTTTTAAGAGTAGAGGGTTTCATTTTTTTCTATTGATCCTATTTTGAAATAGTGGTTTGAGTTGACTCGATTCCAAATGAAATGACTTGAGTCTACATCTCTGCTACATACTTCCAAACAGGGAATATAGCAGCTCCACAATATCATTAGTTTGAATCCACTTGTGACCTGTAGCATACCTTTGTTCATCCTTAAAATAAATCAAAAGTTAATCTATGTTTTCTATGGTCCAGTTTTAAAACAAACTGGGAGATGCTATGAGTTGAAGGTCAGAGTCCATCAGAGTTCAGTAGATACTCAGAAGTCCACAGGGGAAGACAATAATACAAAACCAACATCATTTCATGATAACCCATATTTCTTCACTTTACTTATTTCCATCACTAAATATTTAACCTTGAGCCTTTGAGTGTGAGAAGTCTCATTTCAGAAACTGCTTTTGATTAGGTTTGACTGATGGGTAGAGATAACAAGTAGGAACTGATCAGAAAACCCACATTAGCTGTCTGCAGCCTAAGATTGACTAAAGTGTTACTTTTCCTTGATTCTCTTCACATACAGCCCTCCCTCTGATGATACAAGGCTCTTACCCCTGTTGCTGACGTTTGACAAAGCCCTGTATCATGTAATTTTGCTCTGAGGATATTTGATGTGTTCTGATGCCTGAAGTAATGGGGTATCTCAAAACTCTAAACTGTGACAAGTGGGACTATATGTGTTATGTCTTACCAGATGTTATGTCTACAGCAACAGTGTCACATGCTCTTGGATATGATGAAAAAGGATAAAGCGTAATCAAAACGTTTTTACAAGTACATCATTATGTTCAACAAGCCCCTCTTGAGAGTTAGCAGTGGAAAGTGTTAGCATCAAAATAATTATAAAGAACTAAAAGTAAAGGTTCTTTTCACAATATTTTGTTATTTTTGTATTATAATGAATACATTTATTTGTACATCACTTTCATGTTGCAGTAAAATAGGAACTTGTTTTTCCTAATATTCTTTTTAATTTTTTTTATTTCTTCTATTTCAACAATTAGACATTTTATACATCCCCAAAACAAACAAAATTAGTAGAAGTGGGATTATTCTCTCTTGTAGCTTGTGGATTTACCCCAACAAGTCAATTAATAAAGTAATATAAATAAAGTTTTATTTTAAGTAAGTGTTATTGCCTCTGATATATAGTGTAATAGAATGATAAAGTAGAAGCCAAATTGTAGTGCTTTTTTAATGGTAACTATCCCCCACTGGAGCTTGCCTTATCTTACTGGCATCATGAGAGAACGATGAATTAACATGGAAGCATATATAGAAGTATATATCTGTACATGTCTTACCTATTGTAATAATCATACATTAGTTCCTTCTGCTGTGTATGAAGCAGGCCTAACACATATCTCTTCCTCTCTTCAGGAACAAATGGATGGTAAAGATAAACTGTCATGGCGACGTTCTGCTTTGGCCAGGCCTTCTTCTGTCAAGGTGATGAGAGGGAAGCTGCCATTACTGCAGCCCTGTGTGTTAAAACATAATGCTATGGAATCCTCAGTAAATGGATGTACTGCTGGAGGATGTCTGAGGAAAACAATCAAACTCAAGGTAAAACATGTTTTATCTGTAAATTAACATTTGCATGAGATATATGGCCATCATGTCTTCTTTGAAAAGACTGGAAAGCTTTTTTAAGGCAGAAGCAGTCTAGGTTATTTGTGAGAACCTTGAAATGCTTGAAAACAATAATAGTAGATGGTCAGAGAAAAATAATCGATACTATGAAAGTAGAATGGAGTGTTTGAGTATCAGGATGCTTAAATTGTTGCTGCCCAAAATCAATTTTGCCTGGAGGAAGCTGAAGTGTGTTGACTCTTTTTCATGTTTTTTTCATGGCATAAATATTGTACGCACTGTGTACGCTGCACACTTTTCCTTTCTGTTTGAGCAGGCATTTCAGGTGATAAGATGAGACAGGGTGTGAAATATATATGCCTGCTGCATGGTTTGATGTAATTACATCATCAAATGTTTTTATGGTTTCCCATCAGCCTTTCATCTTAGCCTCAGTAAAACAGTGTGACTGCTGAAAGATTTCCTGGAATGAAAGCCTTTATTGCTGCGTTTGGTCTATCATGTAGTCTTTGCACTGTAAAGTCACATGGTAATGACAGGATTAAGCATGTCAAACAGTGCTGTAATATGTGGTAAATGTTCTGTTAAGGAGCATTGCCTGTATTTTTCAAAGTATTAGCAGTAGTTGTTACAATGTACATATAAAGGCACAATATTTAAGTCGTTTTGTGTGCCTGCGTTATTGTTGTAATACCACAGTGTTAAACGGAAGACACATGTAACTGCTTGATTTGGTTTTCAGTCATTGGCGTATTGGATTTGTTAGTAATTAACATAAACAAACCAACAACATCCTCACATATTATTTGCAAAGCTTTTGGTAATATTGAGCTGGGATACATATGATTCAAACAGAGGGAAATTATTGTTACATTACGTGCATCATAACTGTTTAAAGGTCATGCAAGGTCACTGCAATGTGTCTACATTGTAAACCTGACATGAAATCCACTGATTGCATATTGTTGAAGAAGAATTGTTACTATGCCTGTGTTCAGTTTGTGGTATTTAGGTAGTTGAAAATTGTCCTTTAGGTGTTGAAGTAAGAATAATGTCCCTATGTTTACCGCTGTCAGCTGTACTAGTAAAACTTCTAGGCGTAAAATTGAACTACAAAGTCCACCTGAATACACCACCAAGCAGTAAAGTTATATCATGACATTGATTTAACTGAACAACAAACCTGACCCAGTGAAGTCACCTGGTGCAGGTTTCATAAAAACCTGCAAACAAACACGTTCTACTTTTAAAACTGTAATGCAACACTCAGATGTGTAATGGGCAAATAAAGGACCTTTTTTAAAGAGGCACTTGACTGATTTGATAAATTAGGCTCAGTGTACCTGTCAAAGTGAGTACTGCCTGTTAATACTTCCCCATTGTCTTACAAGGAGAACAAATAACTGATCCTATCATGTTTTCAGTTTAAACCACACTAGGGATTTAAAATCAAGAAAAGGCACTGTCCAGCAATTTAGTTTTTTCATTCCATAAACTTTGTACACCTGCAGGACAACATATATGCAGCCGATGCAGAGTTGTCTTGCAGGTGCACCAGAATGAAAAACAAAATTGCTGTGCCTTTTTTAATGTGGGTGCATTTTTATTTATAACGTACAAACAAAACAGGCTCTACAAATACTTTGTGAGATCCGTATTGAATTCTTACAATGGTAATAGAATTCATATTCAATGTATGGATTTTCCTCCTACCCCAATAGAGGTTTGAATAAAAAACATATAGTTATACTGTAGGATATCTAATTTTATGAATTTTAGCCACATTTCAGTAAGCCAAAGACATAGAAAGGGAATTCTATGAGCTCATTTTCAAGATATTCATTGTAATTCTTATGAGACAGAAAAAAAAGCAGTGTAGCACATGTAGCAAACTAAACAGTGGTAATGTGTGTAGTGAACGGGCGAGGCGCTGTGCATCATCCGCGGTGAGCCTCCGCTCCGCACAGACACTGAGAGACAGTCATGGAGAGGCGGACAGCGGACTGTTTTCTTTGTTATTTTTAAAGTCTTGCGACTCTCAACCATGTCACTGTTGGCGGGGACGTGTGCCGGTCCAAATGTCCGATGCACCCGAAAGCAGCAAGAAGATTTTCACCGGTGAAGTATATGTCACTTTTTTCCTCCCGAGCTCAGAGATTGGGATTGCGGTATAGTCGGGAGATATGTGCCATCGCTTTGCTGCTTGTAAATCTGTTCGGGGATCGGTGTGGGGTTCCCTCTGTCCTCTGACGGTACGGGAAATGTTTGCGGTCGCCCTGTTGTTCGTTTAGTTTAGCGACTGTTAGCGGACACAGTACAGATATTAATAGATGAATAGTGTGACAAAGTTGTGCACTTGTCGGTCGGCTGCTGAAAGGCCTGGCACTGTGTGTGTGTGTGTGTGTGTGTATGTGTGTGGTGTGTGTGTGTGTGTGTGTGTGTACGGAGTTTGTTTCTGGCTCCCCTCCCCCACTCGCCGCTGCTGTTCTGCTCATTCTGGAAAGGCCAAGACATGAATGTGATGAGAGGCTCACTTCAAAAAAGGAACAAACGGATACAGTTGCAGAAAAAAGGGACATGTATTAGACTTTGCTGATATCACGCATACATTGTCCTGTGAGGCCACACACACGTCACACCTGTGACCGCAGAACCGTTCATTTCAATATCAATGCGCTAACCGAACATAACTGGCGCGGATGTATCATTACACACAGGTAGCGAGATGACTGCTAGGTTAACCGGCATATCATTAGCATTCATAAACCATGCATCCTTATTTTCAAACAGCCCGTGTTTTTCTGTGGTTATCATTTATTAGTGCAGAACACCTGGCCTTAAACACAGTGCACGTGCTGCCCACACTTCAGGATTGTGCAGAGAAAAGGCACTGTTGGCCAGTGTTGTCTTTACTGTCTTTGTTTAATCAGGAAAATGATTTGTAGCTGTATTGGAAAAGACAAGAGAGTGGGTGTGCCCTAAAGGGTACGTGAAGGCAACCATTAAAACAATATTTATTTTTGAAATCCCAGCTAGTGTAAACCCAGCTGTCAGAATTCTTTTTTTAATACTGAAATGCTAAATCTTATTTTTTCACAATTTTCTTTTTAATCCCAAAACCCATTACAGCAAGTGCACAGAGCCATTGCTGGACACCATGATTTTGTCCTGCTCTCAGCTTTCAATACATATTGGCTTCTGCGCAAATGTGTGAATTTAAACAGCTTGAGAACATTGGCTCTTTTCCCCCCCTACATTGTGGCTACATTTGGGAATTGGCACTTAAAATGGTTTCTGACACTGTATATGGGTAGCTTAATGATGAGCTGAATGTACAGTGTTTAGAGGTGGAGATATACACACGACTATTCGTTGCTTAGCAAGAAAGCTCAGGGAAAACACATGAGGACAATGACATGTCCTTGAAGGAGACATTCAACCCTTAAAATCATAAGCTATTTTGCAGAGGAATGAAGAGAGAATATGATACAAGGATCAATAAAGTATCATTTGCAGCACTGCTCATATCAGCTGATAGAAGAGAGACTTCTTCATTATTGAGTTCATACTGTAAATCTCAGAGGATGTAACTGCAGTAGCTATGTAAAGTAATGCTATGCTTGTGCATATAAATCAGAGCATATTACTGCACACTACCACTACACCATATTCACACTGCTGCCGAGTAGATTTGCTGCCTCCAGGGCCAGGCGGCACTGAAGCCACGACTCTGGGCTTGGATTACCACAACACTCCCACATAACTCAGACTGTGACTCAGTGCGGCACAATTATAGACCATCAAACCACTTTCTAGACTATCAAACTACAGTATAAACCAAATGATTTTAAGCTTTCAATGTCTGCTTAAGCTTGCAGATGTTATGCAGAATTTGCTGATACAGATTGAGTGCAGGAAATGCTTTTTCTTTGTATTTTTGTGCTGAAATATGTGTTTTTGTGACAGTTGCTCTATTGTATTGATTACCTTATCAAATGTTGGTTCACTGTATTCCTTATATGTGACTTGCTCTATCGAAATCACATTGACGCGAAAACACATTTTGAGTTTTATACACTGTTGGAAAGAGGAGATTCCTAGCTTTCTAATGATATCAGGATTGTTTTTTGTACTCCAAATATTAAGCAAAATATGTCACATTATTGGAGTGTAAACAGCTGATATTATAAGCATACTGTGCATAATGCATAGCAATAAAAGGTAAACCAGTTCATAATCTTTGTACTGCATTAGTGGTTTGCATTAGATTGTCTCACATTTACAAATCTGCAGGAAGTGCATTCATTTTAATGTCCAGCTGCAAACTGGCCACATGAGTTTATCATGAAAATCTGATAAAAATGCGAACCATGCAATATTCACTAAGAGGTACTAATCCTCTTTAAACCAGGCGTATGGCGAATATGGGACATGTAGATTGACCTTTTGTTAGCTTATCAATTTATACTGAATAGAGTGCTTTATCATTCATCTGAGAATGAGTTTTAAAATATCTTCTTGTAGTACCATTCTGTCAAGGCTAGCATTACTCTACCTTTAAGTGATGTGCTGAAGCTGTGTCTCAATATTTATTTCCCCCCTTGCAGGAGTTTCTTTGCAGTGGAATAAGTAGAGGTCTGGATCGAATAGTTGTGCAGTGTGGGCTCTACGGGGACGTGGTTTATGGATGCTGGGACTATGAGCATAAGCGACAACAGGAACTACTTAGCAGACCTGGGAGGCAGCTTCACTGAGGATGCTCCTAGACCTCCAGTTCCAGGGGAAGAAGGTGAGCTGGTGTGCAGTGATGGGCGCCAGTACAGCAACTTCGGGTTCTCCTCCAAGAACGAGAGCCTCAAATGTGAGTCGTCTGTGGCTACACCCAGGCGCCCCGACTTGGACCTTGGTTATGAGCCGGAGGGAAGTGCCTCCCCTACTCCGCCTTACTTAAAGTGGGCCGAATCTCTGCACTCCCTCCTGGATGACCAAGATGGCATCCACCTGTTCAGGACGTTCCTCAAGCAGGAGGAGTGTGCAGACATGTTGGACTTCTGGTTTGCGTGCAGTGGCTTCCGCAAACTCGAAGCCAATGAAGGTAACGAGGAAAAGAAAGTCAAACTGGCGAAAGCCATCTATAAGAAATACATCCTGGACAACAATGGGATTGTTTCCCGACAGATTAAACCGGCCACCAAGTCCTTCATCAAAGACTGCGTCATGAAACTTCACGTTGACCCTGCAATGTTCGACCAGGCTCAGACTGAGATACAGACTATGATGGAGGACAACACATATCCCTTGTTTCTGAAGTCTGACATATATTTGGAAAATACGCGGACAGGTGGAGAGAGCCCTAAGCTGTTCAGCGATCACAGCTCTCTTTCTGGGAACGGAAAGGGATTGTCGGGTTATTTACCGACTTTAAACGAAGACGAGGAGTGGAGATGTGTCCAGGAGCCAGAGGAGCAGCCCGAGTGTGACCCCACGCCGAGCAACCGGCTTACCCAGAAGCTGCTGATGGAGACGGTCCCGCAGCGTGTTGCCAACAGCGGCAGATTCCAGGACAGTCACGAGTACAGGTAAATCCTCCCAGCTATCTAAAAAAGAAACTTCACCTCTAACTGCAAAGCTTTATTCTCTGCAAACTGCTGAATTAGAAATAAACCTGAAACCCCACAGTACCATGAACGCTGCTTGAAGTCTGAGATGAAAACAGTGTGAGTGTAGCACCAGAGACAGCTCAGATGAGAGGAAGAAGGTGCATTCAGAGGAAATGTCAGAGGCGGTGGAAGTTAACTTGTTGTTAGAAGTTTGAAGTAGTGTTCTTGGTTTTTCTTGTGCAGGTACTGGGGGATTCGTGTTTTCCCTTCGGACAGGGTTTTGTAGGAAAAAGAGTCCAGAATCTCCTATGTTTAAAGAAGAGCCTTATGAAAGCACTTATCCTGAAAACTGGTATTTCTTTCCAACCTTTTTCTGAATTTTCAATCATTTGTTTCTCTTTTAATAACTTAAGTATTATGTTTCACTATTTAATATATAGAGATCTTAAACTTATTTTCTAATGCCATAGCCATTCATATTGATTTGGTAGCTATTATAATATAGTATTAACTCGGATGACAATCTTGTCAAACAAATAAAAAAAGGAAGACATTGCAACAGGGACTGCTGTAGTTAAATATTGGACACACCCTATTTCTGACAATATACATTTACATGACTATGAACATTTGCTTCATATTGAATTACTTCGAAATCAATGTGCTCCTTAAAGGTGGACATGTGTTATATTTCATACACTATCAGAATCAATATATACAAAAGTAATGTTTTTTTCTCCAAATCGAGTTAAAGCCCTCAACTTGATACCCAAATAACTCAACCTACCAATACCAGCAGATGGTCTAGAAACTTGGATTGCAAGTGACTTTGTGTGCTTCAGTGCAATGTGTTACTGTTGTCCGTATGTGTATAACAGCGGGATTCAAATAAGGTTCTCTCTGATTTAAAATGCTTCTCACTCTCTCAATGTGAGAGGTCAAAGTCGATTCTCCCAGATGTCAGTATCTGCTAATGGTCGGTCGATTCTGAGTTAAAGAGGGCTGTACTAGGATTACATTCATTGATCAATCGTTTTAAATTCAGCAGTATGAATGCAGAGGTTGCAGCTGTTAACAGAATGACCTCATGCTATTCTTCAGTTTTATTTTTCCCTCGATTACCGACTTTTCTGCCTTTTTGTGTTCATTTGTGATTCTTGCAGATCCAGTTAGTCATTTGTTTAACCTAATGCTGGTGCTTTGCATAATTACATTACATGTTACTTGTTAGATGCTTTTATCCAAAGCGACTAACATACTCAATACTGTGGGCAATCCCCACAGGAACAATTTGGGGTGAAGTGTCTCAGGGACACAACGACATGCTGACTGCAGTGGGGTTTGAACCTGATCCGAACACCAAGGCTCTATCCACTGCGCCACACGCCTCCCCATAATGTTGCACTTTTGCTGACTGTTGCATCATAATGGATTATTTATAGTTGTTATATGGTCATAACTGACATATTCATGCCAACAATTACAATGTTATATATATATATATATAATTGTAATTGTTGGCATGAATATACCCTTATTTCAACTTAAGTTACACCTTGCACATACACCAGTTATGACCATTTCGACTATTGCATGGGACAGTTAAGAACAAAAAAATGCTTTATGTAAATGTAAAACGTTTGAAGCCTTATCATAGCAGACCATTTAGCACTTCACAGCAGGAAATTCACAGGTGTATACATTTAAAGATGGTAAAAATACCTTTAGCTGCTTCAGTTTTAGAGTACTGAATGCTGACTCACAGCCATATAGTTATGACACTTGAATATTTAACTTAGTCATCATTATTGTTATCAGTCATCCACTGATTTGACTACTAACACTAATCTCACATGGTCACTCTGGTCCAGTTAAAGGTTTGTTAAAATAACTTGACTGCTACTTCAACCATGTTAACTAAAATGAAATATGGCAGCATTACTTTGTGCTATCCTACTATGTGCAAATCTTTTGACAACAGCCTTGCAGGAAAGCAGACGGCCAACCAAAATCCGCTCAAAGGAATTAATCAGGTGTTGTGACCCCCCCTAAAACTGCACGTCTAATGACAGCCCATCTGGCAGAAATCTGGCTCAATTCTAAAATTAGTTTGGGCGACCAATTCGTGTCTAAAACCGGTCTTAATCCGTACTGTTTCTTCCGGGCTTAATTCACAGCAGCCGGTGGAATGACACAGATTGACCCTAAACGGCTCTGAGTAATCTGAATGCTTGTTGTGATCCTCCCATATAAGAACATTTCATCATGTTAAACAAATTAGTGGCTAAGCATTAGCTACAAACATGTGCAAATGAAAGTGTAACAACCAAGGATCTTAATGAAAACACAAGTATCTGCTTGCTACTACAATTGTGCTAATATCCCAGCTGATTACACTTAAAGCTTATTGTGTAACAAGGTTACATCTTCAACTGAGGATTAAGGCCAATTGCAATTTAAAAAAAACAAAACATCAAAACAACATGTTGCAAACTAAACTCAAAAGGGGGATTTAAGATCCTTATGTGTTCTGCTATAGTATAGTTTGCAATAATGTTGTCCCTCAAATCGAAAATATGAAGAAACCTTCCCTTATTTGACCTCTACTCCGGCAGCACCAGTGTTATGAGGACAGGAATTCAGATCAGCTGACAGAAATACAATACCTTCCAGATAAGACACATTGTGTGACTGAAACACTGAACACAATGCATACAAAACAAATCTGACCAGTTAAATCTGAACTGAAATCAGTCCTGCCGTTATCTTAGAAGCTGTGGAATTCTGCTTTCTTTTCGTGATGCTCTTCAGTTTTGGCATGCTGCTTCTCTGGCTTATATCTGCACAACGCAAGAAGAACCAACTGTTTGTTTGCGTTTGATTTGTTTTCTTTCTTTGAAAACATAACCAAAGGCCATTTTCGCTTGAGATCAATGTTTGCTTGAAATGTCCTCAAAAATATAAGAGAAAGCTACAGTTTTAATTAGAGCGTAACACACAGTTATTGTGTGTATTTTCACATCATTATTTCAGCTATCAAGCATTTGGCTGAATTACAGAAAGGCACACTTCATTTTTTTAAAAGCCTTTCAGCAGCACCCGTTGTTTTTTTTTCAAGCTACATTTTCCATCAGTTGTGTCTGATCTCTTCTGAGACGGGCAAAACAAAAGACATGAAATAGTCTTTCAGATCAGCTTTTAGAATTCAAACGAAGAGAGAGAGAGATACATTCATTGATGTTTGGGGAGGTTTTTGAAATCTGTCCAGCTCAGTTTTTTTCTCGTTCCAAGTCATTTGTAAACTTCAAAAGCAATAATTCATCCAGTTTGTCATTTAATAAAAGTTGTTGTTTCCTTATTAAATGATCTTTTGAGGGTCCTAACAATCTGCACGCCTGCCTGAAGTTGAGACAAACATGATAGAACAATATGGATGACCACTTATGGTACTGGTCCTTTAGCAATAATAATACATTTTCTTTTGTATGACATTTATGTGCCCTTTAGGCACATTGTTTATTTGATTTCAATGAGGCAGGCTCTGCGGAGAGAGACAGAAAGGAATGGCATGTGGAAGTTTTCATTACACATAGAGAGCAACTGAGGACACTGCTGCCATTGTCTTTAAAAAATGCATATATAAAAACAAGTTTTACAAAACACAGCTACCTTGTCTTTAGATTAAATTCTCTTTATGCAAGTTAATACATACAAATATGTCAAGGCTCTTGTTAGGATGGAAAACTAGGTATTTTTATTTTTTCTTATATTGCCATTTCATTATTTTTCAAATGGAATTAATACAAATATAAAACTACTTAATTGTTTTTAATGACCTAGCACCAGTACATGGGTCGCCAGCTCTACTAACTTGGCTAACAGCGCTTTATTGTATTTAATGTCTCCTCTTAGGATATTATGCAGCAATAAGGATTAATAAACAACACAATCATTTTAGAACAAACATCCAGCACTGAACCATTTTTCAAGGGACTGTCCTGTGATTTTATATGATGACAGAAACTGTGCTCCACTGTTTTGTTATGCAAAATAAATCTTCCCCAAATGGAAAGAACAACTGTGAGCGGTGTTGCAGCTTCAGATCAATTCTGCTCAATAAATCATCTCATCTGTCTTTCATCAGATGACAGATTGAATTAGTTTGCTTCTCTCCCTTGTCAGTTCCTTTCATTCCTCATCATCAGAAACGTTTCCACATACAATCACAACTTAACACTCATTTTCTGTAGAGTGCACTTTTTATTTGTCCCGGCTCTTCACCAACCTGGCTCTGTAATTATTCGCTGTTGCTGAACGCGGATGCTAATCAGTCGGTCACAAAGGTTTCATTTTGAACTCTGGGAGCTGCTGCATTCCAAACAGGGAGAAAAGCTTCAGGGAATTCCAATTTGAATAAAAAGAGATAATGTCTAACATCTTTAATTCATGTGTACAACTCCCTGCTAGAAATGTGTTCAGCAAAGTCAATGAGTGAGAAGTGAGAAGGTTGACAAATGAAGCTTGAATGCTATATCTATAGTAGACGCTCTTCAAGGTTGTGCATCCAAATAAGACTTGCGGTCATACACCAGCGTTCAATACTCTATATTGTATGGAATTTGGTGTACTCACAGAGGCCGTGGAAATAATATGAAATGAGTTGTTGGCTAGCAAACAACCGGTAGACCTATATCGTTCTTTCTCTGGCTGTAGGTTTTTTACAGTATACATTTTGAAAAGCACAGATGTTACTAATAACAGTAACGACGGCTCGCCTCTATTGAGTGAGAGTTACAGTGAGCCAGCATACACAATAGCAGGACTCTGTAATCATAGCAGCTAAATGGAATTCAGCCGTCATTCATTTCATTATTTACACCGGTGCTTTTTCATACTGTGACAAGTCAGAATGTGGTCCATAAATAAGGCCTGTTATGCCAGAAGCAATAACAAAAGAGAGAGGAGTAGCAGGAAGTGGCCGAATCTGAAAGGCTGACTAATTGCAGGCAATGAAGAATAAGAAGCTGAGCAATGAGGTTATGTTAAATGGTTAGCTGGTGTTGCTAATAACAACGATACGAGTCTCGTGTTGATATTTGTTGATAATATATATGTTGTTTTGAGGTCTAAAATGTTAATGCCATTCCAAAATAATAGAGATTTTAATTGTTTAAAAAGTTTCACATCACAAGCAATAATCTTTTAATAGTGACATCACTATGTAACACTCGCGTTCCTATTGGCTAATACTCCCACCAGCGTTTCCGCCAGGGGGGCGTCTTGCCGTCATTTGACGCCCTTATTCAGCTCGGAACGCCCTGAACTCGCTCCGTGCTAGAGCTTTTCTGGTTCGGAACCGGTCTTTCTTTTCAGCCCCCGTTTTGTTCACACCGCCCAGAGCCCGACTGGTGCTGCCGCTGCTGCGTCATGAGGTCACCGTTTACGTCGCTGATTTTCGCCCCAACGACGTTACAGCGCTCACTACAACAACAACAACGGTGGACTGCGTCGGGTCGATGATCGTGTTGCTTTTAATCATACGAAGCCAGATTAAATTAAATAACGACTTCTCCAACCTTATACTTTGCTCCAGAGTGCCGTGGTTCATTGTTTATTAATGTGTTTCAGCGGAATTTACCGACCGCTGCAGTGCTGCTCTTCCACAGGAGTTTATTCTCCCGTTAGCTACGGGTCAGCTCACATGGCAGCGGCCGCTGTAAAGTATTCACTGTCTGACTGTCACACAAGCAGCTGATACATATCCCCAGTTCCCCATAAGTGAATGTGTTTCAGTATGAATGGACGCTGTTTGGCGTCACAATGCTGTTATTAAAGTTTCTCTGGTATAAAATGGGTGATATTAACATAGCAACCAAAGCTAAACTGACTACCTTGACTACTTGTTGTTGCTATCCTATTGTGGCATAATCCATTTTCTATGGCACATTTTACCGGCGTATTTTTCATTATGATTCTACTTGTGATAGTCGGACACGACAACCTGTGCAGCCCATGTAGGCTATTGATTACATCCGATAGCTGCTATAATACAAAACAAAACGTCTGCCTCTCTCCTTAATGATCAATAACAGCGAACGGATGGTCAAAGTAAGGTACAAATAAACAGAATCACACGAAGCCTGGTTAGTGTTGCCTGATTTTATAAAGTGTGTTATTTTTGTATAAGTGTGTGGTTGCGTTCTAGTCACTTTGCTCAGCACTACAGCTTGTTACAACTTTTATTTGCCGTACTCCCCTTTAACTGTGAGCTCAGGTTAATCTCGCCCCCCTCCGACGTAAGTGTGACGTATGCGGTTCTTGCTTCTAGACCGACAATTTGTTGGTACTTGAAACGAACCGGATTCCAGAGCTTAGAGGCGGCTCCGCTGCGGTGTGAACAGGAAAAAGCGGTGCTTTTTTAGGCTCTAGCTCCGAACCAGCCCTGGAACCGCGTTGGTGTGAAAGCCCCATATGTGGTTGACCAATCACAACAGAGCCTGCCAGCTTACCAATCAGAGCAGACTGGGCTCTGGTTTCAGACAGAGGGTGAACAAAGGTGCTGCAGCACAGGCAGTATGAGAAAGAAATACTGAGAAAATACCTTTTTGAACATTAAAGCATATAAACATGTCACAGTAGAGGCACAAAATACTAATATCAACCTAAAATTGAGCACAATAGGGCCCCTTTAAAAAAGCAATACCCTATGTTCTTAATTTAGACTTTATCAAGTTATGATCCATCTCTACTTTTGTCTCAGCATTTCCTGTATTTTCTTTTTTGTCTAGGCCTGCACCATTTCGTGAGCCTGTCAACCCGTACTATGTGAACACTGGTTATGCCATGGCTCCTGCCACCAGCGCCAACGACAGCGAGCAGCAGAGTATGTCCAGCGACGCAGACACTACTTCCCTCACCGACAGCAGTCTGTACGTATTTTCTCATCTCACACACACATTTCATGCTTACAGTGGTTAAATGCTACGAATAGCTGCATTACTGGCTGTAGTACGAGTTGTATTACCAAAATAATTGACAAAAACAAATATTATACTTAGTTTTCCCAGTTGTTATTAAAAAAGAAGACGTGTTATAAGTTAGCATTTCTCAAAGACAGAAATAAGGGTGTAGTCTTTCTGCATTTTTTTAAACTGTGCTAACCTTAATGATTGAAGCAGCTACGTATGCCCCATCTGCTCATTATCTGAACCAGTAGAAGCTTAGAATCAATCATTAATGCAAAAGAGCAAACCTTAAAACGGACTCCTAGCTGATGTAAAATCATACATGTGTACAGAAATGAAAATACTAACCTACTGACCTCTTTTGCAAATAAAAGACACACACCAGTTTTAAATGTTTCTTAAAAAAATAACTTCATTGTGTCCTTTTCCAGCACCCAATGTTTTGTACCATATGGGATCCTTTCTAGCAGGACAACTTGTATTTCAGTTGAGCGTGCAGACCAGGCTGCAGTAAGAAGATTTTAGAAATCATATTTTCTAGGTTCAGTAGGGGATTATGAGAAACTTCAAAGCTTGCACAACTGGACAAAACATGTGTTTGAAGCTGAATGGATTAGGCAGTTACCAGCTAATTGGTCCAGAGCTTCCAGCACAGTGTAGTGTGAAACCCAGCATGACCAAACCCCACATGGACTTACAGCCTGATGGAAGTGTTAACATGTCACTGTAATCAGCCGGACCACTTGTGGTGCACAATACGCCTGTGAGAAAGCCCGTCCCGCTGCACTGATTATCAAGAATTACAAGGTGTTTTAGTAGAGGAAAAAAATGCAGAATAAAAAAGCCTTCAACTTCAAAGCTGCCTGTGTTGTTTATTCATGAGGATGTTTTATGAAAATGTCTTTGTTGTTAATTCCAGAGATGGGGTTCCACCCTACAGATACCGCAAACAGCATCGCCGGGAGATGCACGAAAGCGCCAAAGCAAATGGGCGAGTGCCACTACCTCATATCCCAGTGAGTTATTCATGGCTTCTCTCACTTTCTGCCTCTACACCTCTCTAAAACTGTCTTATTTTTCTCGCCTGCACCATCGGAGATGTGCATATTTGAGCTGTGCAGTGTCACAGGGCGTGTGATGGAGTGTAAGAATAGCTGATGGTGAAAGAGAAAGCTGTCTAAATGTAGCTTGATGCTCTCCTAAGCTGTGAGCGCTGAAGCCTAGCAGACATGAATCCTCCCCTGTGACAGCCTGATGCCTCCCTCTGCAGCTTACCCTGTCTCTTGGTAGGAAAACCCTGGCCCTAATTAGGCCTTGGAGTAAAGAGTCAAATTAAAAACTCCACACGTAGCGTCCTATTAGGATGCATGAATTGACTGTGTAGTAGAGCACAAATCCCCAAAGCATAACTCTCACGTTTCCCTGCCCCAACAAATTAATCATGACATCCCTTCATCAGCAATAAGAGAAATGACAGGGCTTGTAGGTATCTTTTTAAATGTCACTGCAAGCCTTTTCTTTGTTTAAACTGGCTCCAAACTAGGAGCTTTGCATTTTTATGACTGCAGTGCAAATACTCCCGTTATTAGCTAGGAAACAAATGTCCCTCATCCCTTCATTAAGGAGAGATTAGTGTCATTTAAACTGAAACTTGCTATTCTTCCTAGTTTATTTTCCTGTTTTAGAATATTAAATAAAACGATTTTTTTTAGTGCCGACTATGAAATCTTTTTGCCATGCTCAATGAATGTATATTATGTTCTTTAAGCTTGCAAGGTGATTTCTTTATTGATGGGAAGTGAAGCTTCAACCTCTATTTCAGACACACCGAGGCATCGATCAATTTGTTAAGCATACATTCTCCGTAATGTTGAAAAACTCCCAAAACAATCACTATGAAAAAAATGGTTGTGGGTTCATTGAAGTTGTTGTAAATGTAGCATTTCTTTTCCACATTAATATGTATTGAGTATTGCTGCATTTTGATTGTTTTTACAAAATATTGGAAACAGAAAACACAAAAAACAAAACAAGGAAGGAAAAACCACATGTCTGTCTTTTAAGGGCGGTTCGTATAACGGCTCCTACACACGGCGGCGTGCGTTGACTCTTCAACGCTTCTGTCCATTCACTTTGAATGGGATGACGTCACATTTCGCCGAACTGCATTGTGGGAGCAAAGCGTAGCTTCTCCCGCGGTGCTCGCTGCAAAAGTAGAGCAATGTTCTACTTTTGACGCTTCGACGGAGGCGTCAGCCAATCAAATCCCGCTTATGCAAATCTGCCAGTACAAGCGCTAGCCAATCAAACCGCGTGTATGCTGGGAGAGCCAGACCGCAGTTCATTTCCTCAAAAATATTTTTTTTAATTTAATTTTAAAAGTGAGTCCGTGGCCCGTGATGGCGGGTGTTATAAATTAGATTGCATAATCGTTTTTCTTCATATTTTATGTATCTTTCATTGTTTGTTCAAGACTAGAAAGGTAAAAGTCCCACAAATGAACTGTGATGAGATTTGTTTTCTCTCACCAGTGAAGGCAAATGTTGATTTTAAAGATGAGATTTGTTTGTTTGTGCAATGCCGAGATCTCATGACCTTTATTATATTATGTATTTGTTCTCTAGTCGAATCTCAGGTTCAACATTAATTATAACGGTGCTATAACGGTCTGTTTGCATTGACAAGATGTGCTATTCACGCGGCACACCTGATGGCGGATGTTATAAAATATATTCCATAATCGGTTTTCTTCATATTTTTTATGTATTTTTCATTGTTTGTTCAGAACTAAAAGGTCCAAGAAGTCCCACAATTAAATTGAATATTCATTTGACATGTTAACTATATCGTAAAGCGCTTCATGGGAGTAATTGTGGGATGATACATTTTCAAAGTATCACGATATGTATCGGTATCGTTCAGTGGTATCGGTATCGGTATCATAAAAAAGTCAACGATATGCATCCCTAATACACATACAGTATTTTAAAATGTATGTATGGGTTAATCCATATGTATTTTCGATAAAAAGATCATCTATTTTATTCCATTCATTAACAAAATCATAAAGGTAAAAATGTGCCATTGTGTTTATCTCTAACCATGCATTCTGATACCTATTTCATGTTATAGCCTTTTTAATAATACATTATCTAAGCGTAATATCTATGATTATCAGACACATCATTATTTATATTTAAGGTACATAATGTTGCATCCCTTATTCCAAAATACTTTTAATTTTCCTAAAATGAGTGTAATTTATGACGTGTGCCACCCCTTCTGATCTTAACACTCGACACTGTTTACTTAAATGTTTCCCGCTCAAGTTTCAACTCTTTCATCTGAGATGAGTAAAGGGTCAGGGATGGTAAAAGCCCAGATGGTGTTGACAGAAATGCAGCAGTGACAGAGGAGAGTGCTTTTACAGTTTGACCTTTTTTTTCCCCCCAGCGCACTAACCGGATTCCAAAGGATATCCACGTGGAGCCGGAGAGGTTTGCTGCAGAGCTGATCAGCAGGCTGGAGGGCGTCCTGAGGGAGAGAGAGGCTCAGGAGAAGCTGGAGGAGCGGCTGAAGAGAGTACGACTGGTATGTTCACTTCATGTTATATGCTGTTTAAAGCACACGCAGAACCATTGTTATATTACTTTGGTTTAACAAGAGTTATGAGAGCCCTGTGTGTACCTAAATTACCTCTAAAATAATACAACTGAGGCAGTGCAGGGAGAAAAAGGAACACGTGTTTGATCTGACCTTGAATCACCTTCAGGTCGAATGGGGCCATGTTGGCTACTGATGACAACTAATAATATTGTTGGCCAGATTAAAATGAAAAGTCGGGTTCCCCAACTATTTCTTATTGGATTTATCAGATGATCATTTTCTAGATTTGATGTTAATAGAATGGACAAAACTAGTGCGGGGAATCTCTATTCTTCAGAATCAGGTTTTATGCCAGGTATGTTTACACATACAAGAAATGTGCTTTGTTGTGTCTGTACAATACATATATGACAACTGCAGTATTCTTATTTGGTATACAGCCACCAGTACAAGAAATTGTATAACAAAAAAAGCCTTTGCCTTTTTCTTCATGGGGTCTTTTAAAGGCCCGGACACACCAAGCCGATTTTGGCCATCGATGGGCGTCAGGCCGACGATGAGCGTCGACACGCCCTACTCAGATTGGTGTGTCCCGCACCGTCGTGTCTTTTCAGCCGTGCCGACACCTTTTCGGCCGAAAAACAAAGGCTGTCGGCAAAATAAATCACTGATTGGCTGTTCAGCTAGCGAATCAGTGCATGAGAAGTGAAACGGAAGTGAGGGACCCAAACAAACTATTAAGAAGGCAAATCTGAGATTTAATTTAACTCCAGCTCTCGACACAGGTTCGGGAAAGCCCCATGAGCTTCTCGTTGTAGAGTGAAAATGGAACGCACACGCTATTTGTTGTTTGTTCTTCTTCTCTCGGTTATCACGCAGTCTGTTTTCCGGTTGTTGTCTCTTTTGAATGACGAATACACACTACCGCTGCCTGCTGGTAAGGAGAGTTATTGCCACTCACGCATGCGCAGTTCGTACGTGCTTCTTGGCCGTCGGCTGAAGTCTTTGCGGTGTGTTCCAGTGCGACACATGGCCAAGACGCAGGAGACGTGAGGTGACGCAACAGTCGGGGGTCCGTCTGTCAGTTATTTGGTGTCAGCTTGGTGTGTCCGGGCCTTAATGGCCATATTTGCGTTCATTTAGGTTTTTTTTATTTATGTGTGGGAGAGAAACTCCTTCTGGAGGGAACTTTGGGATTTTAGCCTTTGTAGACCATTTACATGCAAAATAAACGATATAACCCACTGCAGGAAAGAGAAAACCCCCAAAAGAAAAATAGGCCCACTTTTATTTTCAACCAACTCATCAGTCAATTGTGCAATAAACTTGGCTCCAGATGAGTTTGTATTGTTTTGGCAATGTTTTATATTGAGCATTGAAACAAATCCTGCTTTTTTTTTGTGTTCTCACATTCTTGGTCTGAGCTGGGTTTGAGGATCACATGTTTAATCCTCATTCCACAAATGTTGATATGAAAGGACCTTTTTTCACTTTCATACCTTTTTGATTCACTTTAATAAAAGAACAAATGATGACTAATAATATGGTATTAAAAAGCAGACTATTAGTATCAGTAATTTGCGAGAGAACCATCAAAGCTCTTTTCTGAGCCAGAAAGCAAGTTGTGTGTTTGTCCGTTGGGCTTAAAGTTTCCAGTAACAAAGGAGACTTAAATCTGTCCATCCTTAATGAAATTAATGAGGCCAGCCTTTTGAATGTGGAACAAAAACACATTATGAATCACTTGGAGATTTCCATCCTTGGCCTGTCAGCGATCTGGCTTAGCGATGAATCAGACGGAGCACCTGCACACTCGGCCGTTTGTAAGCCTGGAACAGCGTGCCGCCTCTTTGATGTCACTTGAACGGGGATGAAATGGTTTCTGCAACCACAAACAAAACCTCCTTCAGTACACGAACCCAAATACTTAGTCTCAAGGCGGACAGTTGGCCCTGGAAAGGAGAGAAGCAGCCATCACACAGCTCGAGGTTTGCTTTATTAAACCTGGAGGCAAGCATGAAATAACTGCCTTCATCAAGAGATGCTCAAGTGAGCTTCTAGAAAAGGACATTTGAGCTTAGCTTTATATCCATAATATCGGAGGTAATAAAATGTATATCAATAAAAAGCATAAAGGACTCCTGGTTTTAAAATAAATCATTATATTGCTGTGAGGAAAAGATCCACATGATTTAATCGAGTCTCATCTTCTTGCTTTTTTTTCCCTCTGTTAAAGAATAAGTCTATAAACACGGAAATTAGTTAGCATTTGACCACTTCCTGTTCCCTCGTCTCAATAAAGACGAGCTTTAACACAATAAAGCATGGTTTTTACAAATGAATTGCCTGATGTTATCAATACAATGTTATAGCAAGCACTGCAGTGCAACACGGTATGATTTGAAACAATACAGTACTATAACATTCACATAAGTTAAGCTGAAATAAACATATACGTTTAAACAATGAGAGTATGTAACAGCAGTGTCAGATATGAGGTAATTCAGTCCTTAAAATCCAGTTTTAGATGACTGCATTCCTTTTTATCCACTGTTGTGTTTCCTCCATCGCTGCATATCTTCCATTCCCTGTAGTGACTGCTAATATGAAAGCTACAGTTTAGCCTGCAGCGATAGGCAGATCCTGTCAGAATGGGATCAGTCACTGAAGCTGTACCGGTTGCACTTGCCTTACATGAAACAACACAAATGTGCTGCATACAGGCAGAGACCCTGCCATCTGACTGATACTGGGGTAATTCTTAGTTTGTCTCTGAGCCTCTGCAGTGAGAAGGAGAAGACACATGTTAGCTAAATCTGCCATCTACAGGCGGAAATAAGTACAGCACCCTGAGAAAAAAAATCTTCCTTTGTGTCAAATGTTTTTGAAAATAAACTGTTAACAGGATGAAATGCACATAAATATATTTTCTATGTCTTAGTTTTATCATCACATGCTTCAAATATTAATAATGGATCTTTTAAAACCTGGAATTTCTTTTGTTTTTCAGTGTTTTTTCATCTAAATAATAATAATAATAATAATACACTTTATTTGTATAGTACCTTTCATGCACAAAGCAGCTCAAAGTGCTTTTCAGAACAAGAAAACAAATAAAACATGACGACAATATTAAAATAAATACAGGACAAGATAAAACATCTAATAGGTTAAAATAAAACAATTTAAAAAATCAAATAAAACATGTAAAATAAAACCAAACACAATAAAACATGGACTATGATACCAGTGAGAATTGAAATTTAACCCAAATTAAAAGCCATATGAATGTTTTGTTTTTTGTTCTAAAGGAAGAGGAAGGAGATGAAGTCATGTCCACAGCTGCAGCGTCATCCAGTCACAGGTTCCCCCCTGGTGCTTATCCGCAGAACTACAACTCACGCTATGCCGACAACACCTACAGTGGTCTTATTCTGAGAGACGCTCACGAGGAGAACCCCGAGAGCATCCTGGACGACCACGTGCAGAGGGTCATGAAGACCCCCGGCTGCCAGTCCCCCGGCACAGGACGCCACTCTCCCAAGTCACGCTCGCCGGACGGTGTCCCAGGGGGAAAAGGGGCGGGACTTGGAATGGTGCAGGGGAAACATCCGTCCAGGCACGGCGTCAAGGGAGACCACCTGTACCACCACAAACACATGCACCACATCCACCACGCTGCCGTCGGGAAGCCCAGGGAGCAGGTGGAGGCTGAGGCGGCCATGCGCGTCCACGGCAACCTCCCCTGGGGCACAGAGACGGGGCATTATGGGTCCAAGTCTCGCAGCTACGCAGACGGCATGGGATCCAACCTCGTGGATCACACGGGGTATAGGTAAGAAATACTTTCCTCTTTTTTGGTAATGCTCCCAAATTGCCTTTTTTTACACTAACAAGTTGTTTATTTTTCAGTAGCAAAGGTGGCCCACAGTGTAAAAGGGCGTTGAAGAAGGGTGACGAAGTGCGGCCTTATGACGGGCCAGCGCCTCCAGAGGAGATGGAGAAAAACCAGAAGATCCTCTTGTGGCTGATGGAAGGACAGAAGGAAATGATTCAACATAAGAGGAGCCCATACGGGTCAGTGAGGACACTTAACATAGTGCCACCTCCTTTTGTTAAAGGGGCCCTATTGTGCTCATTTTTCATATTTGTATTTTGTGCCTCTACTCTGACATGTTTCCAGTCTTTAATGTTCAAAATGCTCTTTATTCTTCTCATACTGCCTGTCTTTTCACCCTCTGTCTGAAACCAGAGCCCAGTCTGCTCTGATTGGTTAGTTGGCCGGATCTGTTTTGATTGGTCAACCGCTTAGAGATTTCCCGCCCCTTAGCCTATTTCGTACAGGGTTGAAGTGCTAGCCAATATAAGCACAAGTGTAATGTACTGATGTCACTATGTTACAGAAGTAAACAAAGGAGTCCAATGGAGGCGTTTCAGGCAGGAGGGGGGTGAGTGTTTGGGAGAGAAACTCCCTCTGGAGGGAACTTTGGGATTTCAGCCATTGCAGACCAAGCACAAAACCCTATATAACACACTACAGGAAAGGGATAACCCCCAAAAAGCGTAATAGGGCCCCTTTAAGAGTTGTTCGCAGAAGAGATGCACCCACTGCAGTGTCCTTGGCTGATTTGGGTTAGGATTAGACTGATATCTCTAGTTAAGAGTAAGTTTTAACATAGGCTTTTGATTATTCAAGGAGTCATATCTTTACATTTCAGGAGTACCACTGGGTCCAAGAGGACGTCAGGCCATGAGGCCCAGCAGCGGAACAACGTGCAGCCGTCCCACCCTTTCATCCAGGACCCCACCATGCCCCCAAACCCCGCTCCCAGCCCCCTCATCCAGCTGGAGGAGGTGTGCAGGCGGCTTGAGGAGGAGAAGATTCAGTCAGGAACTGTCCAACCCAAGCAAAGGTAAGTGGACGCACATGTCCCGTTATTACTGTCCACTTTTACAACAGAGGAAGGGGGATGTATCTATCCTTCTTTTCTTTTAGCCAAATGAAAGTTACCCTTTCTAGCCTTTATGCTCTTGAGACCGGTCTGTGTCTAACTCCTGGTTGTTTGGTCCCCAGGTATGTGATGGAGGTGATCCAGAGGGGCCGCACCGCCGTCAGGCCGGCTCTGTTCCCCCCGCTCAGCGTGGTGCCCGCCGTCTCTGACAGCGAGCTCTCCCAGCCAGAGTACGTCCTTTTCCCACAATCCCCCACCCCCTCATGGGTGCCTGCCGTTCCCATCACTGTTAGTGAATCACCCAGGAGTGTGTGCTTTTGTAGAGCTACAAAAAGAGATGTTTAGAAATCAGCTACCCTAATCCTCAGTGTGCTGTAATGTGATGTCATCATGTTGTGTCCCACACTCTATCCTTGAGTTGGTTGTTTGTTTTGTTCGTTGATTTACAGAGGTTGAAATCCATCTATTAGCATCTGTAAGGAAATGTTTTTTTCAGTGTCCTTTAGAGAAACTGAATTATTTCTCCGCTCTACTTTAATATCTCGGATCACACTTGATGGTAGAAAACTCAGATCCCATGCTGCTCATTTCCCATAAGCACCAGAGAGAGGATCAGAGAGGCGGTCGAACAGATTTTGGTGTTCTTCCAGAGTAGGAGTATCGGGGCGAGAGTCTGCTCTTTCTGTTTGATGTGTTACTGGCTGCTCTGTGGGTGCTTAACACATGGAGGGAAGCAGGGACACTGTGAGAGGCAGATGAAGGCACATGATGTTGCACCGGGGTTCAGAGCGGCGAGGGATAATGGACAGGAACAGAATTGTATTGTTTCCCTCAGAATGGATTATTGGAGGACATTTGCTGAAGTAGAAAGCTAGAGGATGTTAGTCCACATTGTTTTTCTCCTCACTCAATACGTGGATATTTGCAAAAAGACACACACTTATAATATAAGGACATAACAATAATAACATGGCACATATTCCAAATTAAAACAGAGAACAAGAAATTAAATTCATGTCAAACCTTTTTCAATCATGCAGCATAAAAACACGATATAACAGTCCAAGGAACACAAGGGGATAAGACGCAATACAATAAATGTATTTTATTTGTATTGAAGTATTGCTTTGATACTGTAGTTTTCATTTGTTATCATAGGCTCCTTTGAGCTAGTGTTAGGAAGTGAAACAGGTCCTTATTCCCTCTTTCTTATATATTTGATATTGTTCTGAAAGCATCACTTTCATACGCCTGGAGTTTCGTGAAAAAAGAGAGAAGCTTGGTTGTTATAACAACTGATCATATAACTATTAATGTCCCTGCAATGTTAGCTACATCCCAGGGACACAAACAGAGGCTGTTATGCGGTTGTTCAAGTTTGTACAAAAGATATCGGGCAAAAACATCTGGGATCATGAAGGATGAGATGATTGTTGTTGTGCTGCATGGCACCCACTCAGGAAGCCATGCATCCCAGAGGACACCCATCACTCCACTGCCGTCTGCCTGTCTGTGGTTGAGACACCTCTATTGATGGCACACTTTATTGTGAACACTTTTCATCTGATTTGTTTTTCTCACAAAATAGAAAACAACAACATTTGTCTGTGTGAAATGTTTTCTTTTCTGCCTCCACTTTGGCTGATGTGTCCTTTTCACCTGAACATCCTGTTGTTTCAGTGATTGTTTGCTTCTTGTTTAACTTATCATTTCTGTTTTCTGCCATTATAAGCTGTCCTTAGAGCCCTCAGTGTTGTTTCCCTCGGAACTGATTATTGGAGGACATTTGCTGAAGCAGAAAGCTACAGGATGTTAGCCCACATTATTTCTCTCCTCACTCAATAACTGGAATTGCACATATTGATTAGAAAGTTTGATCTTTAAAGAAGCAGCTTTTGGAATCACCACAGACTTTTTAAGTTAGATACACATATCAGAAAGTGAAGAACTAACTAAAGTGCTTGTCAGGAAATGATCATGACTCAACACAATTGGCTAGGGTCCTTTTTATATTTCAAAAATAATTGTTCTCCATTCATTTGAAGTGTGGACTTAAATAATAGGATCGTTTCTAAATATGCTCCTGTTTTTTGTCTCCATGTGCAGACACAAAGCCACTAAGAAGCATCCTTGTGAGAACACGACTGTGGCGTATTACTTCTGTGAGGAGCTGATACCCTACAGGACGTCTGTCAAAGGGAGGGTGGTCACACTGGGCCAGTTCAAAGAACTGCTGACGAAGAAAGGAAACTACAGGTGAGATGTACTCACTGCTGTTTGATACCTGTGGACATAGCTTGAGACATTAAACACAAATGTTTAGTAAGTAAGATTTCATTCAAATGACATAACATAAATATAACACGACGTGCTTTGAGACACCAATAGTTCTTAAATCAGTCTTAGAGCTACAGTTATATAAGGGATGTATGGGAAAGAATATTAATTCTAACATCAAAATGATTTATATAAAAGTGTCAGCTAGCCTGTTGCTGACACTGTTGTCAGGTTTGGCTGGAGAGGTCCGCCCGCCAGTGGCAACAACAGCAGATGCTCCGTTAAGGACTCTTAATGTGGGTGGGAAAACAAGCAGCGAGGAAACACACACACACGGTGCATTTGAGTTAATTGATTTGATCCTTCTTATCTGAATACATCAACCCAATAAATACTGCACAGAAAACAGAAACATTGATATACCAAATGACCTCCGCACATTACGCCCCTCACACATGGTTAGTAGCAGTCACAGCTGTTAACCTGGAGAACTTTGTTCCCCGTCTTCTTTTAGGTATTATTTCAAGAAGGTGAGCGACGAGTTTGACTGTGGGGTGGTGTTTGAAGAGGTACGTGAAGATGACGCTATCTTGCCCATCTTTGAGGAGAAGATCATCGGGAAAGTGGAAAAAATTGATTGACGTTCACGTTGAAGAGGAAGGATGAGGAACAATTGGAGGGTGAAGAGGAAGTGTTTTGGGATTGAAGGAGCATGAGAAGAAAGTGACACAGGAAGTGGATGCAGAGTTGAAGAGCGGTGCGGTTTTGAGGCTCGGGGAGCACCACTGCAGTGACGTTGGACTAGAAGAAAAAAAAAGACCTCATTCACTTCGTTGGAGTGTAATGTAGCATTGTAAAGTTTACTAGATGAAGAAGAACAAAAGTGCTACTAAAGCAACATATTTTTGATATGATGTATCAGAGGTTGCCCTTTCTAAAGTAACCACACTTGTCATTTTTATATGTATTGGTACCAGATGTGTACAGTTTGTGTTAAAAGATAACAACATTTTATATCTATTTAAGTATTTAAAATGCTCATTTTCAATCCTATTGAAGCAGGAGTGTGGCCCCTGTTGAAGACGATCAAATCCTTTTTTTGGGATGACTTTTTGTTTGTTTTATTCATGCTGTGCTTTTAATACTTCACTTTAATAATACTTATTTTCATTCAATCTGCACTTTCATTGTATTGTACACCACTGAATATGTCTCAAGGTAGGTTGCACCGTGAATTTCTAAAGCACCTACATGTGGCCAGAGAAATGGAAACCCCTGTAGAGTGCACTGCAATCCAGCCCTGGGTCCTAAAATAGTACTTTAACAAGATTAATGTAAGTCATGGCACTGCAGGAGAGCATTTATGGTCACTTTTAAAGCTGTGAGTAGTGTTTTTATCCGTGACACCACCACAGAGTTGTAATTTATTGTTTTATTGGCTTGCATAATCGCATTCTGCCCAGGTTGTTTGCATTCTGCTGGTTCTTTGTTGTATGCTCCATAGGATTGTAGACATTAGCTATGTTTATGTACACTGTTGTTTACCCCAACTAAATTGAAGTTGTACGAGAATTGCCTAACAAATTAACACAGCAATGCAATAATACTGTGGAGAAAGGGGAACAGTAGGTGAATATCTATGCAGGTTAGGTCCCCTGATCCAAAACAACACTGGCCCTTTACTTTAATAATTTAGAAAAATATTAAAAACAGGTTGAGGCTACACATTAAGACATTTAGGTTTTTAGAAGCCTGTTTTCCCAATTTTAAATGTGTTTTGATTATACTCGGTTCATTAATCAGGCTGAATTTCAATTGGGTTGAGACCATCTTTTCTAAAGTTTCTAAAATTCTAATTGAAGATTGTGAATAAGAAATACTACCTTTTTTATGAATTAAAATGAATAGTAAGTGCTAATGAATATTTGGAAGTCAATTTTCTAGTTTTCTTTAAATTATTTCCAGTTAAACATTGAATTTTCTAAAGAACTCACCTCAGCTTTGGAGGTCGGTGTGTGTTCATGAAAGGGAAGCGTTCCAATCCACACAGGTCCCGCCTCCTTGAACATGTCCAACAGGTCATATCACAGCGTTTGAATGAGAGGCCAGTGAATGTAATCAGAATACTATCAAACCTAGATCTAGTTGTCACATAAAGGCATATTTAACTATACTATAAGTGCTACCTTTTTACAGTAGGTGTATAGGAGTGCAATAGACACTGAAATGTTGCGTTTATTGTGTTTACATCAAGTATTTATTAGTTTTAGCTCCATGTGTGTGTTTATTTATGAGATCCCAGAGACTAACCCTCTTTTAATCACTGCTTTGTGTATGTATCAGTTCAGAAGGGGCTGATCTCTCATCTGTAGCCTTCTAGCTAATCGCGGCTATCGTGTGCCTAGCAGTAATGAATTGTTTAGTGCAAATGATCTACTGTTGATAGATCAGGTTACACCAAAGAGAAAAAAGTAGATGGTAGTTACCATAGGCACGCGCTTGAATTCTCACATTGATAGTACCCCTTCATTTTGTGGCGGCACTTAGTTATGTTTTATTTAAGCGTTTGCATGAAGATTCAGAATGTTTTTTTTTTTTCAATGAACATGGTGTGCATTTCCTGATGCTCCTTGTTACAAGGGACAAATCATAATCATTGCTGAAAAATTTCTCAGCATAATATATATTCCCTGTCCTTGCTATTTGGCATCATAAATGAAACGTTTGCACTGGAATAGCAACTGAAATTGAACAAAAAATCTATCTGGAAAGCAGCATGACATTTAGTTTCAAGGTCTCTGTGGATTTCGTCATGTTGCTGTAATGAAAGCCTTTAACTACAGATGCTGGACTGTGTGTGTGTTCAGAAGCTGTTTATCAATGCTGCCTCTTTTTTTTTAGATTCTTTACTTAAATCAGTTTAATATATACTGTGTTGTTAAATGATCCACTATTGAGTACATAATCAAATGTAATACTATAAGTATTATCTTGATTTTTTTTATTTTTTTATTTCTTTTTGAAATATAACATCTGTGAAGTTTCTTACTGTGAAAGCCCCAAAAGTTATTATTTAAAATCAATTAAATGTATATAATAAACGTCAGAGTGCCTTTGCTACTATGCTAATGACATCTGCTGTGAATTTCACACGTGGGGGCATAAATACTGGGATTTATTTTTATTTCTTGTTTAATGTTTGTCACATTTCCACCTTTTTCTCTGTAAATATGTACAACTTTGTCTTCAGCCAGCAGCCCACTCACTCCCCTGGACCTGTTTCTGTTCATAGCATGGTTACCGTTTAAAGGTACCCGGACAATAAATACATGCAATAAACCAGAGCCTGACTTCTGAGTGTGATTGACCCAATCCTGCATCGTCATTGGTCGGAAGATAACTTGCATTGTTATTTAATAGAATGTATTTTTTTTAACTCTTAGATGCATAAGTGGGTCTTTTTTGACCCGGTGAGGTGGTATTCTTGAAGTACCTTTGTAATTACATTTTTTTTATCATTTCATATTCCAGCTATTCCTCAAAAAACATGTTTTGGATATCATGCCATTCTAATTTTAAATTTTAATTTTAAGAAATTGTAGTTCTCATTCATAACACTCCGTTCGATGTCTCACTATGGGATGCGCCTCATCGCGGAGCAAGCAGAAGCATCAATCTCATTACGCCAATCCTGATTGGCTGGTGATCTTGACGTCAGCGTCAGGGAATTCACCCCCTATAAGTAGCTTGCGCCACGACGCATGCGCCATTCAAACACCTCTTCTCGCTTCAGAGCACATCTCTATGGTAGCCGGACAAGCTTAACGGTCCACAGACTGAACCCAAATAACCATTTCGGTCGCCGGGCGCTCGCCGGCTACTCCTTCTGCTTCGCAGGAAGACGGTAATACTAACGCCAGTTAGTATTGAAATCGACCTCGCCGTTCTCTTTCGCCGGAAAGTAAGGTAGGTCTGATTTTTTCAAGCTAGCGTTAGCTCGCTCCCTCACTATCGACACCACGGTAGCGAGGAAGTTTTTTCTTTTCTCTTCCCCACGGAGGAGGAAAGGATTAAAGGAGCATACTGTCACACCAGTCAGTATTCTCCGGGAAAAAAAGACCCACACCGTCCTTTTCTCCGGATTAAGGACAGGGTGGTAACACCTTTTTTTCTCCCAACCTACCTGTTGAGAGCGGGTCCTCTCCACGCCACGAGGCGAACAAGATGGACGCCTCTCTCCCTCACACCAGAGGAGTCAGGGACTCGGTGGCTCGACTCTGTGGCTGCGGGTTGAAGATCTCGGGCACAGACACACACCAGGTCTGCTCGTCCTGCCTCGGGCTGGAACACGCCCGAGGCGCTATCGACAACCCCGGCTCGTGCGGACATTGTGTCCGCTTCACCGTGAAGAGCCTCCGCCGACGGCTAGCATGCCAAGCTAGCCTGTCAGAGCAGGACCCCCCCCATGTCCACTGACCTGCCGGCCGGCAGTCAAGACGCGGGGGCATCCGCCACAGAGAGTGAACCCCTCTCCGTGTCGGTCTGAGGCTCATTATCTGCGATGGCTGCAGAACCGGAATCCCGCGCCCTGGCAGGCCGGGACCCGGTGACGGCAAGACACGCGGGAACGGGACCCCACGCTTTACCGAGCTGGGGCTCCCGGTTAGACCTCACCATGGTCTCACCCGCGGAGGATGTCCTCGAGCTGGACTACGATGAGGACGAAGAGGACGCCTCGGTGTTCCTCCTGTCCGAGTCGGATGAACATGAAGAGGACATCTTCATGTCATCGGCTCAGGCTGCAAAGCCTGGAGCGAGGGCTGCTCTCCCGGGCGATAGCACACCAGCTTCGCCCTGTCTGAGCATGGACCTGCAGGCCGTGTGTAAACGCGCCGCGGCCAGACTCGACATCCCGTGGCCTGAAATGGCCAAGGAGACCTCCAGGTCCCGCTACGAAGGGAAACATTTTCCCCAAGCAGCGCGGACAAAGAGGCAACTCCTTCCGGTCTTCCCGGAGATGTTGGATGAGGTGTCGGTCTCGTGGAGAGACCGACAAGCAACAAGGTCCCAATCCAGGGTGCCTCCTCCCTAGACTGTGACGGAATGGAGAAGCTCGGCCTGCTCCGCATACCGCCCATGGAACCGCTGGTAGCAGCCCACCTCCTACCGAGGATGGGCCCGTCACCAAGCAGGAACCCCACGCTGCCGGCAAAGTCGGACCGATTTCAGTCGACAATGACTGAACGGTCCTACAAAGCCGCAGCGTTGTCCGCCAGGGCCCTGAATGTGTCCTCGCTGCTAACCGCTTACCAAGCGGAGCTCTGCGAGGACCTGTCGGGTAACCCGGGGGCAGCCACTCTGGACGAGATGGCAGCGGTCACAGACATTTGTCTTCGTGTCCAATGCTGCGCCGTCCAGGCCACAGGTAAGGCAATGGGGATCATGGTGGTGCAGGAAAGAGTGAGATGGCTCAACCTCACCAACCTCACAGACCGGGAAAAGGAGGATGTGCTGGATATGCCCATCGTTCCCGAGGGAATTTTCGGCTCCGCTCTTGCTTCCATGCAAAGGAGGTGTGAGTCGAAAAAGAAGGAGGACGAGGCACTCCACCTCTGCCTCCCTTGAAGGGTCCAGCCGCTGCCTTCGCAGCAGCAGTCCTTCGCCCAAGCTGCCTCGAACCCTGCTCGGTTTAAAACACCGAAAACGCAGAGGTCGCAGCCCGCCCCGAGTCCCCAGCCCAGGCTGGAGAAGAGGTTCCCGCCGCCTCGAGAGATGCCTCAACACCATCCTCAAGTCCGCACAAACACATGTCACAAATTTGTTGATTCTTCTGTCATAAAACATTTGCCGCTGACGCATCCAGGCTTCAGGCCGAGGGCGCAGCTCAAAAAAATTGATAAGAAAAACAATAAAACCAATAAACAGCCCGTCAACTGTTCCCCTTCTGAGAGCAGCTACGGCATCTCTCAAAAGGCGGATTACAGGCGGGTCTGTGAAGGCACCACCGTCACGCGCATGCGCATGCGCAGCGCCGGCTGGGGCTTTAAAGGCACCACCGCCACGCCGGCTGGGGTTGTGAAGGCACCACCGTCATGCGCATGCGCAGTGTCGGTGGGGATTGTCGAAAAGGGGCACCACTGTGTTCAGACACTAGAGGGCCCCATAACACAACAAATAGAGACTCAGAGGGGAAGAGACGTGACATCTCCACTGGCTCTAAGGAGCATACAGTGGAAGATGCTCACATCATCTGCTTGGGTTTTCAAGACAGTAACACGGGGCTACAGACTCCAATTCGCTGTCACCCCCCCTCGCTTCTCGGGCATTCTGCATTCGCAGGCCCGAGGAGAGTCAGCCCATATTCTGGAGAGAGAGATTCTCTCTCTCCTAGAAAAGAGGGCTATATCTATTGTACCCGCCGAGCAGAGTCAGGGCGGCTTCTATTCCAAGTACTTCCTCGTTCCCAAACGGGGAGGGAACGGAATTCGGCCAGTACTTGATTTGAGGGCTCTGAACAAATATCTAAAAAGATATAAGTTCAGAATGCTCACTCACACATCTCTGCTGCGGCTCGTGCGACAAGACGACTGGTTACATCAGTCGACCTGAAAGATGCGTATTTTCACATCCCAGTATATTACCCACACAGGAAATATCTGAGATTCGCATTTCAGGGGATCTGTTATAAATACAGAGTACTCCCCTTCGGTCTGTCTCTCAGTCCAAGGGTGTTTGTACGATGTACGGAAGCCGCGATAGCCCCGTTAAGACAACAGGGTATTCGCCTGGCGACCTACCTGGACGACTGGCTGCTTCTCGCACAGTCGGAGCAGGAGGCTGTTACGCAGACAAATGTCCTCGTAAAGCACCTGCTCAACTTGGGTTTCATAATAAACACAGAGAAGAGCATGTTGTACCCCGCGCAGACTATACTCTTCCTGGGTTTACACCTGAACTCGGTGCCCTTTTCAGCTCGCCTGTCAGCGGAAAGAGTGAAAGCTTTCAGAGCTTGTCTCGCTCTTTTCCAGCTGCGCAAACATGTTCTCTTCAGATCATGCCTGCGATTGCTGGGGCTCATGGCGTCAGCCATCCTGGTCGTATGACTGGGACGCTTACACATGAGGGAGTTTCAGCGCTGGGTGGCCGCCCTAAAACTATGATGATGGTTACTGTGAAATGCGTAATGGCACTGCGCCACTGGCTGCACCCGACTTTTCTAGTACGAGGTGTGCCTATGGGTGCTGTCCTTTCACGGAAAGTGGTCACCACGGACGCATGTCTGACAGGTTGGGGAGGTATTTATGAAGGTCGCCCGGTGAGGGGTCTCTGGAGCAGAGACCTCCAGCGGGCGCACATAAATTACCTGGAGCTTTTAGCGGTGTTTCTCACCCTAAAACGCTTTCTGCCTTTCCTCAGGGGACATCACGTCCTCGTGAGGACAGACAACACGACCACAATATCGTATATTAACCGCCAAGGGGGTTTGCGTTCTCTCCAGTTACACACACTGGCGCGCAAACTGATCCTATGGAGCGGTAGACGTCTCCTCTCTCTGAGAGCGACGCACGTACCGGGAGTGATGAACCTCGGGGCAGATCTACTGTCCAGAGGTATACCACTTTATGCAGACTGGACTCTACATCCAAGGATTGTGAGCCAGCTGTGGGTGCGTTACGGCAGAGCCGCGGTGGATCTGTTCGCATCGAAAAACAACGCTCAGTGTCAGCTGTTCTTTTCGATGCGCGATCTAAATGCACCGTTAGGCGTGGATGCACTCGCGCACAATTGGCCCCCGGGCCTTCTGTACGCGTTCCCACCCCTGGCTCTGATACCCCCAACTCTGGCCAGAGTGAGAGAGCAACGCCACACACTTATCCTGATAGCTCCGCACTGGCCAGCTATGTACTGGCTAGCGGAGATATATCAGCTGCTGTGCGGGCAGCCATGGCAGCTCCCACTACGCAGGGACATACTGTCCCAAGCGGGGGGGGCGATCTTTCACCCACACCCAGAGCGCTTGGCTCTATGGGCCTGGCCCGTGAGTGGTACAAATACAGTGTGACATGACGCTGACCCTGGCAGCTGCCAAGCGAGCCAGTGGCACTCATGCACTATCTGTACAGTCTTCATGCACTCAGTTCGCCCCAGGGCAAACAGAGTGTGGTTGAAGCACAACCCTGCCTTTATCTTAAGGCGGTTGGTTCAGGTACCACATTTGACATTGAGGCATCCTCCCCGCCACTGTATTCCTCCGGGGAACAGCGGCCGGATTTGCCGTGTCTAGCCCGTGCTGTACGCACGTACAGGGACAGATCAAGGGTGCTTCGTCATAATGACCAACCCC